ATTAGCTCTAACGAGGCAAAAGCCTTAAGAGAGCTGCGTGTAAATAAGGATATCCAAATCCTAGCAGCTGATAAAGGCCGCACTACTGTACTGATGTCACGAGCCGATTATGATAATAAAATTAGAAATTTACTAGAGGAAAGTACCTACATTAAAATTAAACGAGATCCAACTAATACTTTAGAACGTAAGACCACTGCAATAATTGCAAATTCATTAATCCCTAAAAATGAGCAATACCTAATTAAGCCAAGGGCCTCAAAACCACCTAGACTCTATGGGCTACCAAAGATTCATAAAATCGGCATCCCATTACGACCCATAGTCAGTACAATTGGCTCTGCCACATATCAATTAGCAAAATATATAACCAAACAAATACAGCCCTACATCGGTAAGACATCTTCATTCATAAAAAATTCAGAACATCTTGTGAATGTGATTAAAGATATTAAACTTACTCCTGATGATATTCTGGTAAGCTTTGATGTGATTTCTCTATTCACTAAGGTTCCAGTGGACGAATCGCTTAAATTACTTGATACACTAGTAAAGAATACCGGTTTACAAAAAGATATTCCGAAACTTGCTGGCCATTGCTTAAATAACACTTACTTCTTATGGAGAGGGGATTTCTTTAAACAAAAGGAAGGAGCAGCAATGGGTTCTCCTTTATCCCCTGCTATAGCAAATTTGTACATGGAAAACTTTGAAATAAGAGCACTTGCCTCGAGCACATTAAAACCATCCTTTTGGTTTAGGTATGTGGATGACACTTTGGTTGTCTGGCCACATGGTAAAGATACACTTAATGATTTTCTAAATCATCTCAATGCACAAAACCCGGCCATCCAGTTCACCATGGAAATGGAGGTGAATAATACACTCCCATTCCTAGATATTTTGCTTGGACATGGCCTAAACGGTAAAATAACACACAGCGTTTACAGAAAGCAAACGCACACTGATGCCTATCTGAATGCAGAATCACATCATCATCCAGCTCAAAAATCCTCTCTTATCAAGACGCTCGTGCATCGGGCGAAAACAGTGTCAGATGGTGAGAGTCTAGTGAGAGAGATTAAACACGTTAAAGACGCACTACGACAGAATGGCTACAATAATGCTCAAATTAACAGAGCACTGAATGCCAAATCACGATCGCAAAGCAATACTACTGAAAGCGACCAGATTGTTAAAACAATAAAAATTCCATATATCTCAGGAGTAACTGACAAATTAGCCCGCGTTTTGCAAAAGCAAAACATTACAGTAAGATTTGGTACAGTACACAAAATTCAAAAACTAGTATCTTGCACTAAAGACGCATTACCTAAACTATCAACAGAAGGTGTATATCGGATTAGTTGTTCATGTGGCAGCTGCTACATTGGGCAGACGGGACGTAACATCAGCGTAAGACTAAAAGAACATCAGAGAAATATTAAATTATCTCAAACACAACTGTCGGCAGTGGCAGAACATGCTAGTCAACAAGGACACTCAATTGATTTTGACAATGTTGCAGTGGTGTGTAAAACTAATTATTACTGGCAAAGACTAATTAGAGAATCCATTGAAATTGAGAGGAACAAGAATAACTTTAATCGCTCTGACAGCTACCGGCTCAGTGCGGCCTGGAAGCGTATTATTAAATAATACACATTACATTTTGATTTAAAGAATTACTAATCTACAACTCATTACTAATCATAACCAATGACTGATTACTAATCGATTATATAATTACATTACCCCCCCCTCCGCCTCTAATCACTGCACCTGATGAGTTAAGTGATGACGTCACTCTTCTGCTCTATATAAAACCGGGAGCAAGCGAGGGCTTTACCATTCTGGCGAAATGCCCGATGATGCTGGAAGTATTTACCAGCGAAACGTCGTACTCAAACTGTAAATGTGGATTAACTCTTCAACACACCGGTGGGCTGAAGTAGTGAATTATTTGTCTTTTGTCAACGTGACACTTTTCTTTGCTGATTGGCCGTGTCGGGTGGTGGAGGGTTACGACACATTTATAAATAAACGCGATCTAACCCAAAAACCTTTATTATGAATAAACGTCCCTACCTAAAACCTTCTGCTGCTAGACCCCCTAGATTCTATGGTCTCCCCAAGATTCATAAAGAAGGCACTCCACTACGACCCATCGTATCCACGATCAACTCCCCTACCTATAAGCTAGCATGTTTTCTGTCAGATACCTTGCTACCCTTCACTGGCAAGACCTCCTCAGCAGTACTTAACTCAGCCCAATTGGTCTCTATGGTCAAAGACGTTGTACTGTCCCCTGACAATATCCTTGTCAGCTTCGATGTGGTCTCCCTGTTCACCAAGGTCCCGGTACCTGATACCATTGAAATAATTGAAAATTTGGAACATGGACTAGACCCCGATACACCTGCGCTGGTTAGACACTGCCTCACCAATACATACTTTACTTGGAATGGCACCTTCTACAAACAAAATGAGGGTACCCCCATGGGTTCTCCCTTATCACCAGTGATAGCCAAAGATTTCATGGAGAAATTTGAATCAGATGCCATCCAGACTTCCTGTGGAAGAGATATGTGGATGACACTTTCATCATTTGGCCACATGGCCTCCCAGCTTTGAACCTTTTCCTACACCACATCAATTCCAGACATCCCGCCATCAAATTCACCATGGAAGTGGAGAAAGATGGCAAGCTACCATTCTTGGATGTTCTGTTTGAGAGGAGACCTGATGGCTCATTGGGGCATTCTGTCTAAAGGAAACCCACCCACACAGATTCCTACTTGAAGCCTGATTCCCACCACCACCCAGCTCAATAGTATTCTCTCATCAAAACGTTATACCACAGGTCTCATTGCATTTCGGACCAACACCACCTGACCAGTGAATTAAAACATGTACACCTGGCCCTCAAGAGAAACGGATACTCTGACCGTACCATCCGCCAAGCTGTTTCTCCCTCCATACAGAAACAACCACTTGATACTCCGGTCAAAACCATCACACTACCATATATAGCAGGCATTACTAAAAAGATCTCCAAAATTCTAAACAAACACAAGATCCTGGTCCGGTTCAATACAGTACACAAAATTCGTGACCTGATCCCATCCGTGAAGGATGTCATGCCTGACTTACAGTACCCCGGGGTTTACAAATTGAGCTGCACTTGTGGTGATTGCTATATCGGGGAGATGAAGCGACATGTCTCTGACCGAATTCGCGAGCACAAATCAGATTTGAAACACGGCAGAACGAATTCTTCTGCCGTGGCTGACCACTGTTACAACGCTGTGGGTGATCACGATATAGTGTTCTCCGATACCAAGGTCCTTTGCAAACCTATAGGTTATCATTAGAGATTTGTCCACGAGGCAATTCAGATTTACAAACACAGACACAATTTCAACCGAGATGGTGGTTTCAAATTAAGCAATCATTGGAAAGATGTTCTAAATCATACCAAACATTCAACTAATTTCAATGGTACAGTATATTTATCCAAGTAGTGATATACCAAACTTTCACAGCAGCTTATTTCCCTTCAAAACAACGTTTGTAAACTCCCCTCCCCCTCCCCGTGTTAGGTGCTCTATCAGCACTTCATGCTAATTCCTTTGTCAAAGCATTTGGTTTCCTCCCACACAGCTTATAGGACGCGACCTGGCTTGACTTTCTTAATTCCAACGCTGTCTTCGTGACAGCACGGTCCCTTCACCTGATGAAGGCCACTTGTGTTGTGGCCGAAACGTCGTGATTTTTGTTGTTTTATTTTTTGCCTACGTGACTTTACCGAATAGAACCAAAGAGTAAAGATAAAATAAAGCGTGTTATTTATTTAATTTCATCGCTACGTGACTATACGTAGGTATAAGATAAAATAAAGTGTGTTATTTATTTTAATTCATCACCGAAGCGTATGGATTCCTGCAGTCACGAAAGCTTCAAATCAAAGTAATCTAAATGCTGTCTCACCTTCCTAGCTGGTGATGTTGTTGCTGCTGCTGCTGCTGTACCTGGGTGAGACTCAGCGGCGGTGAGAGGCGTGGACGGAGACTCGTCTCCCGTCACCGTGGTATAGATTCCCGAATCTGAACCAACGCCAACGCTACTACCGCCACCACCACCGCCACCATTCACAGGCGTGACATCAGCACCACCGCCGCCACCACCACCACAACCCACACTAACACCACCACCATTCACACCCCTTAGGCCACCACCACCACTGACACCACCGATAACACTGCCACCACCACCACCGCCACCACCATTCACAGGCGTGACATCAGCACCACCGCCGCCACCACCACCACAACCCACACTAACACCACCACCACCACCACCGTTCACACCCCTCAAGCCACCGGCACGACCACCACCGCCGTCACAACCTCCACCATTCACACCCATGACATCAGCACCACCACCTCCACAACCTCCAGCCGCACCACCACCACCACCACTACCGCCGCTTCCACCGCCGTCACTGGCCTGGCCGTGGCACCTGCCAGCGGACGCCGGTCTCGATTTGCCCGTCGGCGAGCTCCTCCCCACGCTCCCCGTCCCGCTGCAGCTTGCCGAGCCACAGCTGCCGGCACTGTCGATGTTACTGCTGCACCTACTGCTGTCAATGTGACTTCTGCTACTACTACTGCTGTCAATGTGACTTCTGCTACTACTGCTGCTGTCGATGTGACTCCTACTACTACTGCTGTCAATGTGACTGCTGCACCTACTGCTGTCGATGTGACTGCTACTACTGCTGCCGATGTAACTGCTGCCCCTACTGCTGTCAATGTGACTGCTGCTGCTACTGCTGCTGTCGATGTGACTGCTGCACCTACTGCTGTCGATGTGACTGCTGCCCCTACTGCTGTCAATGTGACTGCTGCTGCTACTACTGCTGTCGATGTGACTGCTGCTACCACTGCTGCCGATGTGACTGCTGCTGCTACTACTGCCGATGTGACTGCTGCACCTACTGCTGCTCCCGATGCGACTGCTGCTACTGCTGCTGCTGCCGATGTGGATACTGCTGCTCTTGCCGGCGACGCCGCTGTCGCTGCGCCTGTCGGTATTTCTGCCGGCGTTGCCGCCGCCGCTGCCGTCGCCGTCGAAACCGCCGCTCCTGCCGCCGATGGCATTGCCGCCGCTCCTGCCGCCGCCGCCGCCGCGCTTTGCCCGGTCGCGCCGCTTCTCGTCGTCACTGCCGTCCCCCCCTCCTCTGCTCCCGCGGTCGCCGTCATCGCCGCCTTGGTGGTGGTGGTGGTACCGGATGGGAAGCGGTGAGGTCGTCGAGGGCGAACGGGGCGAGTCGCCGGGCTCGTCGAGGAAGAGCCGCATCATCTCGAGGACGTTGTGACGGTGGGCGCTGCCCGTCGCCTCACCCTGAGCCACGCAACCCACAGGGGGGGGGGGGGGCGCGGTGAGACTCACTCCCTCTCTCTCTCCCCCCACTCCCCCTCCGCCCGCCACCATCCCTGTGGGAACGCAGCGAGGGGGTTGCGGTATGAGCCAGCCAGAGACACGGAGAGGTTTTTGTGGTTTTGCGGTGGGTTCGTCACGGGTAGGGCTAGAGTGAGTCAGGGTTAGGGTGAGTCAGGGTTAGGGGTTAGGGTGAGTCAGGGTTAGGGTGAGTCAGAGTTAGGGTGAGTCAGGGTTGGGGGTTAGGGTGAGTCAGGGTTAGGGTGAGTCAGGGTTAGGGAGAGTCAGGGTTAGGGTGAGTCAGGGTTAGGGGTTAGGGTGAGTCAGGGTTAGCGTGAGTCAGGGTTAGGGGTTAGGGTGAGTCAGGGTTAGGGTGAGTCAGGGTTAGGGTGAGTCAGGGTTAGGGGTTAGGGTGAGTCAGGGTTAGGGTGAGTCAGGGTTAAGGTGAGTCAGGGTTAGGGTGAGTCAGGGTTAGGGTGAGTCAGGGTTAGGGGTTAGGGTGAGTCAGGGTTAGGGTGAGTCAGGGTCAGGGTGAGTCAGGGTCAGGGAGAGTTAGGGTCAGGGCGAGTCAGGGTTAGGGTGAGTCAGGGTGAGTCAGGGTTAGGGTGAGTCAGGGTTACGGTGAGTCAGGGTCAGGGTGAGTCAGGGTTAGGGAGAGTCAGGGTTAGGGTGAGTCGGGGTTAGGGTGAGTCAGGGTTAGGGTGAGTCAGGGTTAGGGTGAGTCAGGGTTAGGGAGAGTCAGGGTTAGGGTGAGTCAGGGTTAGGGTGAGTCAGGGTTAGTGTGGGTCAGGGTTAGGGTGAGTCAGGGTTAGGGTGAGTCAGGGTTAGCGTGAGTCAGGGTTAGGGTGAGTCAGGGTTAGGGTGAGTCAGGGTCAGGGTTAGGGTGAGTCAGGGTTAGGGTGAGTCAGGGTTAGGGTGAGTCAGTGTCAAGGTGAGTCAGGGTTAGGGTGAGTCAGGGTTAGGGTGAGTCAGGGTCAGGGTGAGTCAGGGTTAGGGTGAGTCAGGGTTAGGGTGAGTCAGGGTTAGGGTGAGTCAGGGTTAGGGTGAGTCAGGGTTACGGTGAGTCAGGGTTAGGGTGAGTCAGGGTTAGGGTGAGTCAGGGTTAGGGAGAGTCAGGGTTAGGGAGAGTCAGGGTTAGGGTGAGTCAGGGTTAGGGTGAGTCAGGGTTAGTGTGAGTCAGGGTGAGTCAGACTTAGGGTGAGTCAGGGTTAGTGTGAGTCAGGGTTAGGGTGACTCAGGGTCAGGGTGAGTCAGGGTCAGGGTGAGTCAGGGTTAGGCTGAGTCAGGGTTAGGCTGAGTCAGGGTTAGGGTGAGTCAGGGAGGGGGGTGACGGAGGGAGCTGAGAGTGAGGGAGGCTGAGTCACCGTGATCCAGTGGTGGTCGAGGAGCTCCCTCGCGGTGAGCCGGTGGGCTGGGTCCACCTTGAGAAGGCCCTGCACAGCATCCTTGGCTGAGCCGCGCAAACAAAGACAAAGATCCCCGCGTAGCCTTAACAGACTGTGTGGGGCAGGTGCTGTGAGCGAGCGACACCTGTGAAGGCCGGCACGGTGAGACACAAGGAGGGTGGGCGGCCAACGCCACGCCCGACCACCTTTGTCTCCCCAGCGGTGGCAATGCTGGTGGCGGTGGTGGGTGGTGGCAGCAGTGGCGGTGGTGGGTGGTGGTGGGTGGTGGTATTGGTGGTGGTGGGTGGTGGTACTGCTGGTGGTGGGTGGTGGTACTGGTGGTTGTGGTACTGGTGGTGGTGGTGACGGTGGGTGGTGGTGGTGATGATGGTGGTGGTGGTGATGGTGGTGATGGTGGTGGTGGTACTGGTGATGGTGGTGGTGGAGGTGGGTGGTGGTGGGAGTGGGTGGTGATGGTGGTGGTGGTACTGGTGGGCGGTGATACTGGTGGGCGGTAGTACTGGTGGTGATGGGACTGGTGGTGATGGGACTGGTGGTGATGGTACTGGTGGTGGTGGGTAGTGGTACTGGTGGTGGTGGTAATGGTGGTGATCGTACAGGTGGTGGTGGGTAGTGGTACTGGTGGTGATGGTACAGGTGGTGGTGGGTAGTGGTACTGGTGGTGGTGGTAATGGTGGTGGGTGGTGGTTGTACTGCTGGTGGTGGTACTGGTGGTCGGTGGCACTGGTGGTGATGGTACTGGTGGTAGTGTGTGCTTGTACTGCTGGTGGTGGTACTGGTGGTGCTGGTGCTGGTAGTGGCGGTGGGGGGGTGATGGTACTGGTGGGTGGTGGTTGTACTGCTGGTGGTGGCACCGGTGGGCGGTGATATTGGTGGGCGGTAGTACTGGTGGTGATGGGACTGGTGGTGATGGAACTGGTCGTGATGGTACAGGTGGTAGTGGGTAGTGGTACTGGTGGTGGTGGTGGTGGTAATGGTGATGGGTGGTGGTTGTACTGCTGGTGGTGGTACTGGTGGTTGGTGGCACTGGTGGTGATGGTACTGGTGGTAGTGTGTGCTTGTACTGCTGGTGGTGGTACTGGTGGTGGTGCTGGTAGTGGCGGTGGGGGGGTGATGGTACTGGTGGGTGGTGGCTGTACTGCTGGTGGTGGTACCGGTGGGCGGTGGTACTGGTGGGCGGTGATACTGGTGGGCGGTAGTACTGGTGGTGATGGGACTGGTGGTGATGGGACTGGTGGCGCTGGTGGGCGGTGGCGCTGGTGGGCGGTGGCGCTGGTGGGCGGTGGCGCTGGTGGGCGGCGGCAGCGGTGGGTGGGTGGGCGTTGAACCGGCCTCACCGGCGTCGCTGACCGAGCCCCACGGTGGCCCCGAGAAGCTGAGCTGGCCCAAGCACACGGAGTGGCACAGCTCCTCCCGGCTGTCGCCCTTGAAGGGCGCGTCGCCACACAGCCTGGCGTCGGGGCCGGGGCAAGCGGTTGGCATCGCGGCGTTGCAGCACGGCAGTGCGATGCGTGGTGGTGGTGGTGGTGGTGGTTGTGGTGGTGGCAGTGGTGGTTGTGGTTGTGATTGATGTGTGTGCGCGTTGAGCCACCGTACGTAGGCAACCGCGCTAATCGGAGGTGCAGGGACGGGACGGACAAACTAACGCAAGACAAAATGCAGATCTGAAGAAATTCGTTTTCAAAGTAGTATAGAGGTGTAGTGTATAGTGAGGTGTACAACAGTGTAATGGAAAGTAGTGTATAATAGTGCAGTGTATAGTGTCTGTACTGAAAGGGTGATCTCCATACTATAGACAACAACCGCCATTTGCCACTAAGTGGCGGTGACGTCACCACGACGCTTGTGCCAGGGCTATGTGCACCTTGAGGCCACGTGAAGTGTCGAACGCCCGCTGGCAGGAGGTCACGGGGCAGACCCAGCAGGTGCCACGGGTCGACTGACTGAGATGACCGAGACGGCTGGCTGATGCACCACCTGTGCCCCCTACTGTGCCAACTTGCTGTGCTTTAGCCACCCGGCGCTCCGCTCGTTGTTGTGAGCGTCGCTCCTCCGCCCTCCATTGTTGTTGGAGGGCGACTGCCTCCAACTGCCCAGCAGCGTCTTTCACGAGCCTCCTCCACAGAGGCCGATCTTGACACCGCTGGTATCAGTCATCGGCAAGTCCACTCAGCTCCACATCCTCCTGTACCACATCACTCCATCTCTTATCTAGCCCGTGCCTCCTGTACCACATCACTCCATCTCTGCACTAGCCCCGTGCCTCCTGTACCACATCACTCCATCTCTTCTCTAGCCCCGTGCCTCCTGTACCGCATAACTCCATCTCTTCTCTAGCCCCGTGCCTCCTGTACCACATCACTGAATCTCTGCTCTAGCCCGTGCCTCCTGTACCACATCACTCCATCTCTGCACTAGCCCCGTGCCTCCTGTACCACATCACTCCATCTCTTCTCTAGCCCCGTGCCTCCTGTACCGCATAACTCCATCTCTTCTCTAGCCCCGTGCCTCCTGTACCACATCACTGAATCTCTGCTCTAGCCCCATGCCTCCTGCACCACATCACTCCATATCTTCTCTAGCCCCGTGCCTCCTGTACAACATCCCTCCATCTCTTCTCTAGCCCCGTGCCTCCTGTACCACATCACTCCATCTCTTCTCTAGCCCCGTGCCTCCTATACCACATCACTCCATCTCTTCTCTAGCCCCGTGCCTCCTGTACCACATCACTCCATCTCCTCGCTAGCCCCGTGCCTCCTGTACCACATCACTCCATCTCTTCTCTAGCCCCGTGCCTCCTGTACCACATTACTCCATCTCTTCTCTAGCCCCGTGCCTCCTGTACCACATCACTCCATCTCTTCACTAGCCCCGTGCCTCCTGTACCACATCACTCCATCTCATCTCTAGCCCGTGCCTCCTGTACCACATCACTGAATCTCTTCTCTAGCCCCATGCCTCCTGTACCACATCACTCCATCTCTTCTCTAGCCCTGTGCCTCCTTTACCACATCACTCCATCTCTTCTCTAGCCCGTGCCTTCTGTACCACATCACTCAATCTCTTCACTAGCCCCGTGCCTCCTGTACCACATCACTCCATCTCTTCTCTAGCCCCGTGCCCCCTGTACCACATCACTCCATCTCTTCTCTAGCCCTGTGCCCCCTGTACCACATCACTCCATCTCTTCTCTAGCCCCCGTGCCTCCTGTACCACATCACTCCATCTCTTCTCTAGCCCCGTGCCTCCTGTACCACATCACTCCATCTCTTCTCTAGCCCCGTGCCCCCTGTACCACATCACTCCATCTCTTCTCTAGCCCTGTGCCCCCTGTACCACATCACTCCATCTCTTCTCTAGCCCCCGTGCCTCCTGTACCACATCACTCCATCTCTTCTCTAGCCCCGTGCCTCCTGTACCACGTCACTCCATCTCTTCACTAGCCCCGTGCCTCCTGTACCACATCACTCCATCTCTTCTCTAGCCCTGTGCCCCCTGTACCACATCACTCCATCTCTTCTCTAGCCGCGTGACTCCTGTACTACGTCACTCCATCTCTTCTCTAGCCCCGTGCCTCCTGTACCACATCACTCCATCTCTTCTCTAGCCCCGTGCCTCCTGTACCACATCACTCCATCTCTTCTCTAGACCACCACAGCAGCACCTGCGTGACCAGGGTTAGACCGACGGCGCACCTCAGTAGCTGAATGCGAGACGCAGCGAAAGGCTCAGTGGGAGCCGGCACCGTGCCACCTCTAGGCCGCAACGCACGCAGAGACTCACAGGGTGAACGCGATGACGCCGATGCTCCATAGGTCGCACTGCTGACTGTAGTCGTGGTCTAGGAGCACTTCCGGAGCTGGAGACGCAAAGACAAAGACCCCCACCCACACCGCGTAGCCTTAACGGACTGCTGGGGCAAGTGCCGTTAGCGAGTAGCACACGGGTACACGCACACACGTACACACACAGGCGCGCAAACATTCCCCGTGTAGCCCTAACAGACTGTAGGGGGCGCAAGCGCCGTTAGCTAGCGCCTGCGAAGGCCGGCACGGCGCACGAAGGGGGGCGGGGTGGGTGGCCAGCACCACGCCCCCGGCCGCCTTTGTCTCCCCCCCAGTGGCGACGTTCACTACACACACAGCGCCAGGTACTCGTTTGAGGCTGCGTCGACCTAGGCCCGCCGAACTTGTCCGAATATAATAATTATTATAAAATTAAATTTTACCTTTCTCCTGTAGTGCCCCCATTTCCCCATTAGATGGCGCACTTCGGCCGGGAGTTACGGCGTGTTTTTCTGTATCGTTCACGTTCGTGCAATTCGTTAAATTGCCTTGCGTATAAATGCTTTGCCGCCTGTTAAAGGCCAAATCCTCTCGCGTAATGATTTTTTTAACACGTCATTTATACTTAGTTCACACAAACACTCCGTCCATCCGTTACTGGCCCGGCCCCTCTGTCAAATTTTAGAACCCATTTATGGCCCGCGAGTCAAAAAAATTTGCCCACCCCTGACCGAGGCTGTCAGGCGACAGGCAGATTTGACGGTCCAACGGACGTGCCGGGGCTTCCGTAACGGAGGTGCGCCCTCCATCTATTCGACGCGCGTGTCCCTTCAGCTCATTTTTGTTCCCTTCCCCGCACTCTGCGTGCTCCCACCGTTTGTCACGCGCTTTTTATTAACTCTTGCCTGTCGTCGTTGCTGTCGCATCCTCAAATCCAACCCCCTTCCCAACGTGGTGTCGGCTGCAAACTCGGTATACGTATGTCACACTGATGACGACGCTATGTTCCATCGTAAAAAAAAAAAAAAAAAAATTACGTGCGTCATGTTTTGGCTTGCGTCTAAATTGTCCACGGGTAAACTGACGTTGGCTGCCATTGGCCACGGTCATCATTGTCATCATCATCGTCGTCGTCATCACCCTTACGTGGTGGCGAGCTTCGGGGCCGTTCCCTGGAGTTCGTGGAGCACTTCCATTACAAGTACGGTACATTTCGTTAAAGCGTGTTTGTTTAAGAAGAGCTTTTTAAAAAAAATATTATTACTTATTTTTCGATTTAAAGCTTTCGTGACTGCAATGATTCATCTTCTTTGGTTCTTTCGGTAAAGTCACGTAGAATGATAATAAAATAATAAATTGATAAAATAAAATAACACAATAATATTCTCACGACGTTTCGGCCACAACACAAGCGGCCTTCATCAGGTGAAGGGGGCGAGACTGTCTGGTAGGACAGCGCTGGAGTGAAAGAGCCACGTTCAGATACGGCCTTTAAGCTGTGTGAGAGGAACAAAGCGCCTTGACAAAGGAATTAGCATAGAATTTAGCATTGAAATGGCTGAATGATTAGCTTGTGACTGGTCACAGAAATAGCTATGTTAAAAGTTAAAGTATACACACCCGCAGAGGCACCCTTTAACAATGGGTGCCTCTGCGGGTGTGTATACTTTAACTTTTAACATAGCTATTTCTGTGACCAGTTACAAGCTAATCATTCAGCCATTTCAATGCTAAATTCTATGCTAATTCCTTTGTCAAGGCGCTTTGTTCCTCTCACACAGCTTAAAGGCCGTATCTGAACGTGGCTCTTTCACTCCAGCGCTGTCCTACCAGACAGTCTTGCCCCCTTCACCTGATGAAGGCCGCTTGTGTTGTGGCCGAAACGTCATGAGAATATTATTGTGTTATTTTATTTGATCAATTTATTATTTTATTATCATTCTACGTGACTTTACCGAAAGAACCAAAGAAGATTATTACTTATTATTTTCGTATCTCGTTCGCCGCCGTAACCCGCCAAACCCCCGCCTCGACGTGCGTGTGAACGAGAGCTTCGTAGCCCTTCTGGTTTCTCCCGCGGCTGCAGATTCGCGATCGCGAGCGCCCCGTACCCATGTAGAGGGGAGTTCCGCACGTCGCCTGCAGCAGCGCCTCACTCCCCACTCCCCCCACCTCCACCGAGAGACCAAAGTCAGTCACCTGCACGACCGAGGGGTAACGCATCAGGGGGAAGAGGGGGTGGGGGGGGGGGGAGAGGAGGAGGAGCGAGGAGGTGGCCCGACACACAGGCAGCTGTGATTAGAGGATCGCCATCATCGTCATCATCTCGGTTGTCGTCGTCGTCGTCATCATATCGCAGTCATCATTATCATCATCGTCATCATCATCGCCGTCGTTGTTGTCATCGTCATCATCGTCATCATCATTGTCATCATCATCATCGTCATCCTCATTGTCATCATCATTGTCATCATCATCACTGTTATCATTGTTATCGTCATCATCGTCATCCTCATTGTCATCATCGTCATCATCGTCATTGTCATCATCATTGTCATCATCGTCATCCTCATTGTCATCATCATTGTCATCATCATCATCACTGTTACCATTGTTATCATCGTCATCATCGTCATCATCATCATCATTGTCATCATCATCATCATCCTCATTGTCATTATCATCATTGTCATCATCACTGTTATCATTGTTATCGTCATCATCGTCATCCTCATTGTCATCATCGTCATCATCGTCATTGTCATCATCATTGTCATCATCGTCATCCTCATTGTCATCATCATTGTCATCATCATCACTGTTACCATTGTTATCATCGTCATCATCATCATAGTCGTCATCATCATCATCATTGTCATCATCATCATTGTCATCGTCATCCTCATTGTCATCATCATTGTCATCATCATCACTGTTATCATTGTTATCATTGTCATCATCGTCATCATCGTCATCGTCATCATTGTCATCATCATCGTCATCATTGTCATCATCATCGTCATCATCATTGTCATCATCATTGTCATCGTCACCATCATTATCATTGCCACCACCACCTACTCATTCATTCACCCACCACCCCGTGGTCGTGTGGTTCCTGTAGGTTCTATATGGGTGTCTATGGTTTTATATGGATCTCTGTGGGTCTCTATGAGTATGGCTATCTATGGGTCTCTGTGTCTCTACGAGTATGGATCTCTGTGGGTCTCTATGAGTATGGCTATCTATGGGTCTCTGTGGGTCTCTGTGTCTCTACGAGTATGGATCTCTGTAGGTCTCTATGAGTATAGCTACCTATGGGTCTCTGTGGGTCTCTATAAATATTCATTTCTATGGGTCTCTGTGCGTTTCTATCAGTATGGGTCTCTATGAGAAATGGATCTCTATGGGTCTCTGTGGGTCTCGATTAGTATGGGTCTCTATGGGTCTCTGTGGGTCTCGATTAGTATGGGGCTCTATGGGTCTCTGTGGGTCTCCATGTCTCTACGAGTATGGATCTCTGTGGGTCTCTGAGTATGGGTATCTATGGGTTTCTGTGGGTTCTCGATGAGTATGGGTCTCTATGGGTCTCTGTGGGTTCCTGTGGGTCTCTGTGAGTCTCTATGAGTATGGATCTCTATGGACCTCTATGGGTATCTGTGGTTCTATATAAGTATAGGTCTCTGTGGGTCTCTATGAGTATGGGTCCCTATGGGTCTCTGTGGGTCTCCGTGAGTATGGGTCTCTGTGGGTCTCCGTGAGTAACGGTCTCTGTGGGTCTCTGTAGGTATCTGTGAGTATGGGTTTCTGTGGATCTCTGTGGGTCTCTGTAGGTATGTGTGAGTATGGGTCTCTGTGGATCTCTGTGGGTCCCGATGAGTATGGGTCTCTGTAGGTATCTGTGAGTATGGGTCTCTCTAGATCTCTGTGGGTGACTGTGAGTATGGGTCTCTGTAAGTATCTGTGAGTATGGGTCTCTGTGGGTCTCTGTAGGTATCTGTGAGTACGGGTGCCCTATGGGTCTCTGTGGGTTTCACTCGGTCAAACCAAACGAACTCACCCGCACGTCAAACCTCATCTCGTTTGCCCCGTCCACTCCTCCGGCCTTCACCAGGATGTTCTCCAGCTTGAGGTCACGGTGGACGATGTCTGCCAACGGTGAATTGGTCCGAGAGAGACAGGGAGAGAGAGAGAGGATTTGGCCTCTCGAGAACCGAGTGGGAGAGCCGTGCTGGTGCAACGTATCTCCTCCGTGCGTGCCTGTATCTTGGTGTCTTTGTGTCCGCGTCGGTGTGTGTGTGTGCCAGTGTGTGCGTGTTAGTGTGTCAGTGTCTGTCTGTCAGTGCGGGAAACATTTAGGCTGGCCTGCCTACGATCAATCCTGGGTTTAACCAGGCTGGATTGTGTGAGGAGCTCACAAATCCTCGAAAGATCTGGGCAAGGTCCCATCGGTGAGCTCCTCCGGCAGGCAAGGCTGCGTTGGCTGGGCCATGTAGCCCGCATGCCCAGCCACCGCATGCCGAAACAGCTTTTGTTCGGCCGGATTGAGGGGGCAAAGCGGGCGCCGCACGGGCTAGAGAAGAGATGGAGTCATGTGGTACAGGAGGACGTGGAGCTGAGTAGACTTGCCGATGACTGGTACCGGCGGTGTCAAGATCGGCCTCTGTGGAGGAGGCTCGTGAAGGACGCTACTGGGCAGTTGGAGGTAGTCGCCCTCCAACAACAACGGAAGGCGAAGGAGCGACGCTCACAACAACGAGCTGAGCGCCGGGTGGCCAAAGCACAGCAAGTTGGCACAGTAGGGGGCACAGGTGGTGCATCAGCCAGTCATCTCAGTCAGTCGACCCGTGGCACCTGCTGGGTCTGCCCCGTGACCTCCTGCCAGCGGGCGTTCGACACTTCACGTGGCCTCAGGGTGCACATAGCCTGGCACAAGCATCGTGGTGACGTCACCGCCACTTAGTGGCAAATGGCGGTTGTCGTGTGTGTGGGGAGCGGTAGTGCAGCGGTTAGCGCTACGAACCCAGCGACCGAAGTTCGATTCCCGCTCACGGCCAACACCACCAGTGACGATTATCAGTGCGTGTCAGCGTGTGCGTGTCAGCGCGTGTCAGCACGTGCGTGTCAGTGCGTGCGTGTCATTGTGTGCGTGTCAGTGTGTATCATTGTGTGCGTGTCATTGTGTGTGTGTCAGCGCGTGTGTGTCAGTGCGTGCGTGTCATTGTGTGTGTGTCAGCGCGTGTCATTGTGTGTGTGTCAGCGCGTGCGTGTCAGTGCGTGCGTGTCATTGTGTGTGTCAGTGTGTGCGTGTCAGTGCGTGCGTGTCATTGTGTGTGTGTCAGTGCGTGTCTATGTGTGTGTGTCAGTGTGTGCGTGTCAGTGCGTGCGTGTCATTGTGTGTGTGTCAGTGCGTGTCAGTGCGTGTGTGTCAGCGCGTGCGTGTCAGTGCGTGTCTATGTGTGTGTGTCAGTGCGTGCGTGTCATTGTGTGCGTGTCAGTGCGTGTCAGCGCGTGCGTGTCAGTGCGTGTCTATGTGTGTGTGTCAGTGTGTGCGTGTCATTGTGTGTGTCAGCGCGTGTCAGTGCATGTCTATGTGTGCGTGTCATTGTGTGTGTCAGTGTGTGCGTGTCATTGTGTGTGTGTCAGTGTGTGTGTGTCATTGTGTGTGTGTCAGCGCGTGTCAGCGCGTGCGTGTCACCGTGCTGGTGCAGGTAGGCGATGGCGCTGGTGACGTCACGCACGACGCCTCTCCCCGTGGACTCTGCGAGTGCTCCGTGCTGCTCCAGCAGCGAGCGCAGCTCCCCCAGCTCGCACAGCTCCATCGCTAGAAACACACGCTAGCAACACGACAACAACACGCTAGCAACACGACAACAACACGCTAACAACACGCTAGCAACACGACAACGACACGCTAACAACACGACAACAACACGCTAACAACGACACGCTAGCAACACGACAACAACACACTAACAACACGCTAGCAACATGACAACAACACACTAACAACACGCTAACATGACAACAACACGCTAACAACGACACGCTAGCAACACAACACGCTAGCAACACGACAACAACACGCTAACACACTAGCAACACGACAACAACACACTAACAACATGCTAGCAACATGACAACAACACACTAACAACAGGCTAACACGACAACAACACGCTAACAACGACACGCTAGCAACACAACACGCTAGCAACACGACAACAACACGCTAACACACTAGCAATACGACAACAACACGCTAACAACACGCTAGCAACATGACAACAACACACTAACAACAGGCTAACACGACAACAACACGCTAACAACGACACGCTAGCAACACAAACACGCTAGCAACACGACAACAACACGCTAACACACTAGCAACACGACAACAACACACTAATAACACGCTAGCAACATGACAACAACACACTAACAACACGCTAACACGACAACAACACGCTAACAACGACACGCTAGCAACACAACACGCTAGCAACACGACAACAACACGCTAACACACTAGCAATACGACAACAACACGCTAACAACACGCTAGCAACATGACAACAACACACTAACAACAGGCTAACACGACAACAACACGCTAACAACGACACGCTAGCAACACAAACACGCTAGCAACACGACAACAACACGCTAACACACTAGCAACACGACAACAACACACTAATAACACGCTAGCAACATGACAACAACACACTAACAACACGCTAACACGACAACAACACGCTAACAACGACACGCTAGCAACACAACACGCTAGCAACACGACAACAACACGCTAACACACTAGCAACACGACAACAACACACTAATAACACGCTAGCAACATGACAACAACACACTAACAACACGCTAACACGACAACAACACGCTAACAACAACACGCTAGCAACAACACACTAACAACACAACAACACTAACAACACGCTAACAACACGACACACTAACAACACAACAACACTAACAACACGCTAACAACACGACACGCTAACAACACAACAACACTAACAACACGCTAGCAACACAACAACACTAACAACACGCTAGCAACACGACAACAACACGCTAACACGACCGCGGCGCCTCGCCCGCTGACCTCGGCGAGGGGTTACGGGCCACCGTCACGCGACACTCCGCTCGTCATTCTCACGGCGGCGGCCGTCTGGAACGCTCTTCCCTTCCCATGCTAGGAAGCCACCGGGAGAGCTACGATACACTTTAACATCATCGTCTGGATCAGGGGTGGGGATCGTCCGGCCCGCGGGCCGTGTGAGACCCTCGAAATCATTTGGTCTGCTGGCCCTGCCAAGGCAACCGCAGGCGGGGCTCGAAATTCGATAAATCTAGGAGAGCAAACCTGGAAAAGCAGTTACGAGTAGCAGCAACATCGTCAATACCAGCTAACATCGTCAATACCAGCTAACATCGTCAATACCAGCTAACATCACCAATACCAGCTGACATCACCAACACCAGCTAACATCGCCAATACCAGCTAACATCGTCAATACCAGCTAACATCATCAATACCAGCTAACATCATCAATACCAGCTAACATCACCAATAGCAGCTAACATCATCAACACCAGCGAACATCAGCAATACCAGCTAACATCACCAATACCAGCTAACATCATCAATACCAGCTAACATTATCAATACCAGCTAACATCACCAATACCAGCTAACATAATCAACACCAGCTAACATCATCAATACCAGCTAACATCACCAATACCAGCTAACATCACCAACACCAGCTAACATCACCAACACCAGCTAACATCAACAATACCAGCTAACATCGTCAATACCAGCTAACATCACCAATACCAGCTAACATCATCAATATCAGCTAACATCATCAATACCAGCTAACATCGTCAATACAAGCTAACATCGTCAATACCAGCTAACATCACCAATACCAGCTAACATCATCAATACCAGCTAACATCACCAATACCAGCTAACATCATCAATACCAGCTAACATCACCAATACCAGCTAACTTCAATACCAGCTAACATCATCAATACCAGCTAACATCATCAATACCAGCTAACATCGTCAATACCAGCTAACATCGTCAACACGAGCTAACATCATCAATACCAGCTAACATCACCAATACCAGCTAACATCACCAATACCAGCTAACATCATCAATACCAGCTAATATCATCAATACCAGCTAACTTCAATACCAGCTAACATCATCAATACCAGCTAACTTCATCAATACCAGCTAACATCATCAATACCAGCTAACATCACCAATACCAGCTAACATCATCAATACCAGCTAACTTCAATACCAGCTAACATCATCAATACCAGCTAACATCGTCAATACCAGCTAACATCACCAATACCAGCTAACATCATCAATACCAGCTAACTTCAATACCAGCTAACATCATCAATACCAGCTAACTTCATCAATACCAGCTAACATCACCAATACCAGCTAACATCGTCAATACCAGCTACCATCACCAATACCAGCTAACATCATCAATACCAGCTAACATCATCAAGACCAGCTACCATCACCAATACCAGCTAACATCATCAATACCAGCTAACATCGTCAATACCAGCTAACATCGTCAATACCAGCTAACATCGTCAATACCAGCAAACATCACCAATACCAGCTAACATCGTCAATACCAGCTAACATCACCAACACCAGCTAACATCGTCAATACCAGCTAACATCGTCAATACCAGCTAACATCGTCAATACCAGCAAACATCACCAATACCAGCTAACATCGTCAATACCAGCAAACATTACCAACACCAGCTAACATTGTCAATACCAGCTAACATCACCAATACCAGCAAACATCACCAATACCAGCTAACATCGCCAATACCAGCTAACATCGTCAATACCAGCTAACATCATCAATACCAGCTAACATCATCAATACCAGCTAACATCACCAATAGCAGCTAACATCATCAACACCAGCGAACATCAGCAATACCAGCTAACATCACCAATACCAGCTAACATCATCAATACCAGCTAACATTATCAATACCAGCTAACATCACCAATACCAGCTAACATAATCAACACCAGCTAACATCATCAATACCAGCTAACATCACCAATACCAGCTAACATCACCAACACCAGCTAACATCACCAACACCAGCTAACATCAACAATACCAGCTAACATCGTCAATACCAGCTAACATCACCAATACCAGCTAACATCATCAATATCAGCTAACATCATCAATACCAGCTAACATCGTCAATACAAGCTAACATCGTCAATACCAGCTAACATCACCAATACCAGCTAACATCATCAATACCAGCTAACATCACCAATACCAGCTAACATCATCAATACCAGCTAACATCACCAATACCAGCTAACTTCAATACCAGCTAACATCATCAATACCAGCTAACATCATCAATACCAGCTAACATCGTCAATACCAGCTAACATCACCAATACCAGCTAACATCATCAATACCAGCTAACATCATCAATACCAGCTAACTTCAATACCAGCTAACATCATCAATACCAGCTAACTTCATCAATACCAGCTAACATCATCAATACCAGCTAACATCACCAATACCAGCTAACATCATCAATACCAGCTAACATCGTCAATACCAGCTAACATCACCAATACCAGCTAACATCATCAATACCAGCTAACTTCAATACCAGCTAACATCATCAATACCAGCTAACTTCATCAATACCAGCTAACATCACCAATACCAGCTAACATCGTCAATACCAGCTACCATCACCAATACCAGCTAACATCATCAATACCAGCTAACATCATCAAGACCAGCTACCATCACCAATACCAGCTAACATCATCAATACCAGCTAACATCGTCAATACCAGCTAACATCGTCAATACCAGCTAACATCGTCAATACCAGCAAACATCACCAATACCAGCTAACATCGTCAATACCAGCTAACATCACCAACACCAGCTAACATCGTCAATACCAGCTAACATCGTCAATACCAGCTAACATCGTCAATACCAGCAAACATCACCAATACCAGCTAACATCGTCAATACCAGCAAACATCACCAACACCAGCTAACATTGTCAATACCAGCTAACATCACCAATACCAGCTAACATCGTCAATACCAGCTAACATCACCAACACCAGCTAACATCGTCAATACCAGCTAACATCGTCAATACCAGCTAACATCGTCAATACCAGCAAACATCACCAATACCAGCTAACATCGTCAATACCAGCAAACATCACCAACACCAGCTAACATTGTCAATACCAGCTAACATCACCAATACCAGCTAACATCATCAATACCAGCTAACATCACCAACACCAGCTAACATCAATACCAGCTAACATCATCAATATCAGCGAACATCATCAATACCAGCTAACATCATCAACACCAGCTAACATTGTCAATACCAGCTAACATCATCAACACCAGCTAACATCATCAATACCAGCTAACATCATCAATACCAGCTAACATCGTCAATACCAGCTAACATCGTCAATACCAGCTAACATCATCAACACCAGCTAACATCATCAATACCAGCTAACATCAACACCAGCTAACATCACCAATACAGCCAACATCACCAATACCAGCTAACATCACCAATACCAGTTAACATCACCAATACCAGCTAACATCGTCAATACCAGCTAACATCATCAACACCAGCTAACATCACCAATACCAGCTAACATCATCAACACCAGCTAACATCACCAATACCAGCTAACATCATCAATACCAGCTAACATCACCAATACCAGCTAACATCACCAATACCAGCTATCATCACCAATACCAGCTAACATCACCAATACCAGCTAACATCATCAATACCAGCTAACATCATCAATACCAGCTAACATCAATACCAGCTAACATCACCAATACCAGCTAACATCATCAACACCAGCTAACATCATCAATACCAGCTAACATCAATACCAGCTAACATCAACCAATACCAGCTAACATCATCAACACCAGCTAACATCACCAATACCAGCTAACATCACCAATATCAGCTAACATCACCACCACGCCTCGCCAAACAGAAGCAGTTCCAGCCCATCGCATTAGGGGCGAGTTCATTAAACGCTTGACCAAACATAAACGGGCTAATTGCTAAGCTGATGACTTTGTATGGGCCCGCGAATGACGTCACATAAATAACCAAATGGCCCTTGGCAGAAATAAAAGTTCCACACCCCTGGTCTAGATTGACAAAACTAATTTCTCTACAACTGCTTGTTGTTGTAGTAATAGGTTTTACCCTTTTCACTGGCACAAAAAAACTGACACCTTTATTCAAGGCATCATGTTTGCAATAACCACAACACAAGCAGTCAAAATGCAAATTCAAGGACAGTGCATATTATTATCAGAGTTGTCTCTTTTGGTTGCATTTTGACTGCTTGTGTTGTGGTTATTGCAAACATGATGCATTGAATAAAGGTGTCAGTTTTTTTTTGTGCCAGTTAAAAGGGTAAAACCTCTTACTATATCTTGTTACTGGCAAAGGAGGTCTCATAATGTAAATGCTCACCCCGAGCCCTCAATACTCTGATAGTGCGCTGTTTTTGAGTTGTAAGCCTTTTGGCGTCTTCTGGGCCAACACCAGTGGAGAGACTAAAGGGCTCTAAGAAAAACTGTCTCGGGTGTGGACCAATCAAATTCAAGAACAGTGCCAATATTATTATCATCAGAGTTGTCTCTTTTTGTTTGAATTTTGACTGCTTGTGTTGTGGTTATTGCAAACACGATGCCTTGAATAAAGGCGTCAGTTTTTGTGCCAGTTAAAAGGGTAAAAACCTATTACTATATCTTGTTACTGGCAAAGGAGGTCTCATAATGTAAATGCTCACCCCGAGCCCTCAATACTCTGATAGTGTGCTGTTTTTGAGTTGTACGCCTTTTGGCGTCTTCTGGTTCAACACCAGTGGAGAGACTAAAGGGCTCTAAGAAAAACTGTCTCGGGTGTGGACCAATCAAATTCAAGGACAGTGCCAATATCATTATCAGAGTTGTCTCTTTTTGTTTGCATTTTGACTGCTTGTGTTGTGGTTATTGCAAACATGATGCATTGAATAAAGGTGTCAGTTTTTGTGCCAGTTAAAAGGGTAAAACCTATTACTATATCTTGTTACTGGCAAAGGAGGTCTCATAATGTAAATGCTTGTTGTTGTTTTATTTAAAGCTTTCGTCATTGCAGGGATTCACATTCTTGGTTCTTACGGTAAAGTCATCACCACGAAGAAGGGAAACAATAAAATAATAAAAATATAAAACAATACAATTCAAATTTTCTTGCTGTGGTTTTCACACCTGATGACGATTGCTTCCTGTGCTGCGGTCGAAACGTCGTGAGAATTTGATTGTTTTACATATTTCTTATCATTTCATTGTTTCCCTATCTATGTGGTGACTTTACCGAGAGAACCAAGAATACGAATCATCTGTTTGTTGTTGTGTGCTGTTGTTGCCCGTCACTCTGTTGCCCTTCCCCGCGCAACTCCAATCAGCGCCGTTGGCTGTGTACGGCACGAAAGAAGTTCGCGACGGGCGCGTGCGCACGTGAAGCGTGGTGGGTGAGGGGAGGGGATGAGGCCGGCGTGGGGAGGGGATACATGGGGTGTGGTGGGGGGGATGGCTACCTTGGGGGTCTCCAGAACCTCATAGAGACGAACGATGTTGGAGTGTTGCACCTTCTTCAGGATGGTCACCTCCCTCTCCAGCAGCTGCACTCCCACACCGCCCGCCTTCAAAGGCAAAGAGGGCACCCCACCAGTGGCTAGGAGATGTTGACTACCTCGCCTGGTGTGCAGGAGGTCGTGGGTTCGATCCCGACCCCTGACCATGCCTGCTGCTGCTGCTGTATATTTGGAGTCTGCGTCTCTCTCTCATCATCATCATCATCAGGTGACTAGGGGATGTTGACTACCTCGCCTGGTATGCAGGCGGTCGTGGGTTCTATCATGGCCCAGACCATGGCGGCAGGGGTAGAGGCAGTGGTAGGGGTAGAGGCAGGGGTAGAGGCAGGGGTAGAGGCAGGGGTAGAGGCAGGGGTAGAGGCAGGGGTAGAGGCAGGGGTAGGGGTAGAGGTAGGGGTAGAGGTAGGGGTAGAGGCAGTGGTAGAGGCAGTGGTAGTGGTAGGGGTAGTGGCAGTGGTAGGAGTAGGGGCAGTGGTAGTGGTAGAGGCAGGGGTAGAGGCAGGGGTAGGGGTAGAGGCAGTGGTAAGGGTAGAGGCAGTGGTAGTGGTAGAGGCAGTGGTAGGGGTAGAGGCAGTGGTAGGAGTAGGGGCAGTGGTAGGGGTAGAGGCAGTGGAAGTGATAGTGGTAGAGGCAGTGGTAGAGGTAGTGGTAGGGGTAGAGGCAGTGGTAGAGGTAGGAGTAGAGGCAGGGGTAGTGGTAGGGGTAGTGGTAGGAGTAGGGGCAGTGGTAGGGGTAGAGGCAGTGGTAGAGGCAGTGGTAGAGGTAGTAGTAGGAGAAGAGGTAGTGGTACAGGTAGTGGTAGGAGTAGGGGTAGTGGTAGGGGTAGAGGAAGCGGTAGTGGTAGGGGTAGAGGTAGTGGTAGAGGCAGTAGTAGGAGTAGGGGTAGAAGGAGTGGTAGGGGTAGTGGTAGAGGTAGTGGTAGGAGTAAGGGTAGTGGCAGGAGTAGAGGCAGGGGTAGTGGTAGGTGTAGAGGCAGTGGTAGAGGCAGGGGTAGAGGCAGGGGTTCTCACCTTGTCCTTGTTGAGTTGTTTCACCGCACACTTTTCCCCGGTTGCCAGGTTCACGGCTTCCACGACCAAGCCAAAGCTACCACGGCCGAGAACGCGGCCTAGACGGTACAACTCCTGGAGACGCGGGGGAAGACACGGAGGAGACTTCGTTAGCAGTGGTGAGGGCTAGAGACTGTCTTAGTAGTGGTGAGTGAGACTGTGTTAGTAGTGGTGAGTGAGACTGTGTTAATAGTGGTGAGTGAGACTGTGTTAGTAGTGGTGAGTGAGACTGTGTTAGTAGTGGTAAGTGAGACTGTGTTAGTAGTGGTGAGTGAGACTGTGTTAGTAGTGGTGAGACTGTGTTAGTAGTGGTGAGACTGTGTTAGTAGTGGTGAGTGAGACTGTGTTAGTAGTGGTGAGTGAGACTGTGTTAGTAGTGGTGAGACTGTGTTAGTAGTGGTGAGACTGTGTTAATAGTGGTGAGTGAGACTGTGTTAGTAGTGGTGAGTGAGACTGTGTTAGTAGTGGTAAGTGAGACTGTGTTAGTAGTGGTGAGTGAGACTGTGTTAGTAGTGGTGAGACTGTGTTAGTGGTGGTGAGACTGTGTTAGTAGTGGTGAGTGAGACTGTGTTAGTAGTGGTGAGTGAGACTGTGTTAGTAGTGATGAGACTGTGTTAGTAGTGGTGAGTGAGACTGTGTTAGTAGTGGTGAGTGAGACTGTGTTAGTAGTGGTGAGTGAGACTGTGTTAGTAGTGGTGAGTGAGACTGTGTTAGTAGTGGTGAGTGAGACTGTGTTAGTAGTGGTGAGTGAGGCTGTGTTAGTAGTAGTGAGTGAGACTGTGTTATTAGTGGTGAGTGAGACTGTGTTAGTAGTGGTGAGTGAGACTGTGTTAGTAGTGGTGAGTGAGACTGTGTTAGTAGTGGTGAGTGAGACTGTGTTAGTAGCGGTGAGTGAGACTGTGTTAGTGGTGGTGAGTGAGACTGTGTTAGTGGTGGTGAGTGAGACTGTGTTAGTAATGGTGAGTGAGACTGTGTTAGTAGTGGTGAGTGAGACTGTGTTAGTAGTGGTGAGTGAAACTGTGTTAGTAGTGGTGAGTGAGACTGTGTTAGTAGCGGTGAGTGAGACTGTGTTAGTAGTGGTGAGTGAGACTGTGTTGGTGAGTGAGACTGTGTTAGTAGTGGTGAGTGAGACTGTGTTAGTAGTGGTGAGTGAGACTGTGTTAGTGGTGGTGAGTGAGACTGTGTTAGTAGTGGTGAGTGAGACTGTGTTAGTGGTGGTGAGTGAGACTGTGTTAGTAGTGGTGAGTGAGACTGTGTTAGTGGTGGTGGTGAGTGAGACTGTGTTAGTAGTGGTGAGTGAGACTGTGTTAGTGGTGGTGAGTGAGACTGTGTTAGTAGTGGTGAGTGAGACTGTGTTAGTAGTAGTGAGTGAGACTGTGTTAGTAGTGGTGAGTGAGACTGTGTTAGTAGTGGTGAGTGAGACTGTGTTGGTGAGTGAGGCTGTGTTAGTAGTGGTGAGTGAGACTGTGTTAGTAGTGGTGAGTGAGACTGTGTTAGTAGTGGTGAGTGAGACTGTGTTAGTAGTGGTAAGTGAGACTGTGTTAGTAGTGGTGAGTGAGACTGTGTTAGTAGTGGTGAGTGAGACTGTGTTAGTAGCGGTGAGTGAGACTGTGTTAGCAGTGGTGAGTGAGACTGTGTTAGTAGTGGTGAGGGCTAGAGACTGTGTTAGTGGTGGTGAAGGGGTAGTTGCTTTGGCACCAGCACGGATGCCTCGTCCTGGTGCCGGGAATGTGGAGTGGGACTTCGGTCCCCCAGCCTCGTTGTCATGGCAGACGCCGGCTCCTGATCCCCTCAACTCTCCTCGCCCGCTCTCGATCCTCCCTTGAGTCATGCGCGTGGAGGCCTATCACCCTAACAAGTGAGAGAGATCATGAGCACTCATTCACTCACTCACCAACTCATTCACTCGTTCACCCACCCACCCACTCACCAACTCACTCACCAACTCATTCACTCACCAACTCATCAACTCACCAACTCATTCACTCATCAACTCACCCACTAACCAACCCATCCACTCAACCACTCATTCACTCACCAACTCAACCACTCATCCATCCACACATTCATGCATTCACCAACTCATTCACTCATCAACTCATCCACCCACTCGCTCACACACTCATTCACTCAACTCATCCACCCACCCACTCACCAACTCACCCACTCACCAACTCATCCACTCATCAACTCATCCATTCATCAACTCAACCACTAACCAACCCATCCACTCAACCACTCATCCACTCATTCACTCACACACTCATTCACTCACACACTCATTCACTCACACACTCATCCACTCACCCACTCATCCACTCACAAACTCGTGAGCATCGCACCTCTGCCCCCCACTGTTGTTGGAAGGTGACTGCCTCCAACTGCTCATCCACTCAACGACTCACTCAACAAACTAACCCACTTACTCACTCAACCAACTCACCCACTCACCAACTCATCCACCCACTGACTCAACAACTCACACATTCATGCAATCACCAACTCATTCACTCATTCACTCACACACTCATTCACTCATCCACTCACCCACTCATCCACTCACTCGCCCACTAATTCAACCACTCGCCCACATAACACTAAAGTAGCAACTCGCTCAAACTCGCCAAACCATTTACTCATTCACTCTTTCATACATGTACAAAGATCCCCCGTGTAGCCTTAACAGACTGTATGGGCAAGTGCTGTTAGCGAGCACCTACGAAGGCCGGAACGGTACACGAGGGGGTGGGTGGCCAGCACCACGCCCGACCGCCTTTGTCTCCCCAGTGGCGATGTTTACACACCGCACTAGGTACTCATTTTAGGCTGAGTCGACCTAGGGGAGGCCCGGGACCGGTTCAGATAATCGTCACCGGTGTTGGCCATGAGCGGGAATCGAACCCGGGTCGCCAGGTTCATAGCATATCGTAGCGCTCACCGCTACATACACTACCGCTCTCCACAATGTACACACGCACACACACACGTATACACGCACACACACGTAAACACAACAACAACCGCCATTCGCCACTAAGTGGCGGTGACGTCACCACGACGCTTGTGCCAGGCCATGTGCACCTTGAGGCCACGTGAAGTGTCGAAATTCTCCAAGACAAGGTTCTCTGCAAGCCATCTGGCTACCATGAGAGATTCGTTCATGAGGGTATCCACATATACAAACGCAGAGACAATTTCAACCGAGAAGATGGATTCTGGCTTAGCAATCATTGGAAGGATTTGATAAACCATTTCGGGTCTTAATTGATTGTTCACGCTTACGGTGGCTTTCAGACCGCATCCATTATTTTTCATCTCCCCCCCTCCTCTTTACCGAACATAGATGGACTCCATCTGAACAAACTGTCAAATCGCTCTCCGTGGTTGCGAACGTTAAAAAAAATAACCGCCACTTTTTTCAAATTTTCTTGCTGTGGTTTTCACACCCGATGACGATTGCTTCCTGTGTTGCAGTCGAAACGTCGTGAGAATTTTATCGTTTTATATTTTTATTATTTCATTGTTTCCATATCTACGTGGTGACTTTAGCGAAAGAACCAAGAATATGAATCCCTACAGTCACGAAAGCATTAAATCAAAACACTATTTGTCATAAGACATTAAATACGCACTACAATGACAATAGTTTAATGCGATTTGAAGCGTGTTTTATTTTCAAAATGGAAATATGGTTTTGGGGGGAGGGGGGGGCAGAGCTTTATGACGTCATATATGAGGGGGGGTCTGACTTTTTGTGACGTCGCGTGACGAAGTGGGGGGGGCGGGGTCAAAAATCGCGTGACGTCATTTATGGACGGCCCCAAAAAACCTTTGTTCACTTTATTTTCACATTCTTGGTTCTTTCGGTAAAGTCACCACGTAGAAGGGAAACAATCAAATAAAAAAATTATATAAAACAATACAATTCTCACGACGTTTCGACTGCAGTCACGAAAGCTTTAAGTCAAAATTCACTTTATTTTCATTTTATTTTTTATAATTTTATTATTATTTTTAATCATCGTGACTGCCTTTTCCGAAAGACCCTAAGGAATATTTAATTTGTTTTAACCTCAAGAACTTCGCCTCATAGGAGAGAGCCCAACAGAGAACGATCGATCGCAACGCCACCCGGGAAACTCTAAACGTCACTAGTTTGCAAACGTTTAGTAAGCAATAACAATTTAAAATTTAACAAAATATAACAACTTATTTTTTTTTACCTCACAAACTTCGCCTCAAAGGGACAGATGCCGAGAGAGAGAGATAAACAAACACAACGATCGATCGTAACGTAACGCCACCCGGGCAACGCAAATGTCGCTACTTACAAAAAGTTTAATAAACGAAAAGTATAAAAAATGTAAACAAAAATGTTAACTTTAATTTAAAAAAAATGTTACCTCACAAACTTCGCCTCAACATCATCCGCTACCAACGGGGGATGAGAATATCGCTACTTACAAACGTCGCTACTTACAAACGTTTAGTAAACAATAACAAAACAAAATGTAAACAAAACATTTAAACTTTAATTTTGTTATTTTTTTTACCTCACAAACGGACGGAGGCCCGAAGAGGAAGAAACATTCAACAAAAAATAATATAACGATGCCGCGTCTCCATTGGTCAGCTGTGCATCACGTGGGGGGCGAACGGCGGCTTCCCATTGGTCGGACGCGGTTTGCACCGACTCCGAAGCGGCGAAGGGGGTCGAGGGGGGGGGAGGAGGGAAAGTTTCCCCTAGCAACGCGACGCCGCGATCTGATTGGACAACGGTTGCTGAGGCGATGGTGTTCTCTGCACTCGACTGCTCCTGCCTGTCGCTCAAGATCCATGCGATCCACGCTCCACTGCTTCTGTCTGCCGCTCACAGATCCCTGCGATCCACGATCTACTACTCTCGCCTGTCGCTCACAGATCCCTGCGATCCACGATCCACTACTCCTGTCTGTTTGCTCACAGATCCCTGCGATCCACGCTCCACTACTCCTGTCTGTTTGCTCACAGATCCCTGCGATCCACGCTCCACTACTCCTGTCTGTCGCTCACAGATCCCTGCTCACAGATCCCTGCGATCCACGCTCCACTACTCCTGTCTGTCGCTCACAGATCCCTGCTCACAGATCCCTGTGATCCACGCTCCACTGCTCTCGTCTGTTTGCTCACAGATCCCTGCGATCCACGATCCACTACTCCTGCCTGTCGCTCACAGATCCCTGTGATCCACGCTCGACTGCTTCTGCCTATCGCTCACAGATCCCTGCGATCCACGCTCCACTACTCCTGTCTGTCGCTCACAGATCCCTGCGATCCACGATTCACTGCTCTCGCCTGTTGCTCACAGATCCCTGCGATCCACGCTCCACTACTCTTGTCTGTCGCTCACAGATCCCTGCTCACAGATCCCTGCGATCCACGCGATCCACTACTCCTGTCTGTTTGCTCACAGATCCCTGCTCACAGATCCCTGCGATCCACGCGATCCACTACTCCTGTCTGTTTGCTCACAGATCCCTGCTCACAGATCCCTGCGATCCACGCTCCACTACTCTCGTCTGTCGCTCACAGATCCCTGAGATCCCTGCGATCCACGCGATCCACTGCTCTCTCTCCGACTGCTCCAGGGAGCTGCGGGGTTTCCCCCTCCCAAATTTAGAATCGACGTCGCGCGTTTAGAGCAGTGCCGGATGAAGCTCGTGCGGGGCCTGTAGTAACATCTACATATGTATAAATTTTAGAATGTGTCGATTTAAAGCTTTCGTGACTGCAAGGATTCATCTTCTTTGGTTCTTTCGGTAAAGTCACCACCACGTAGAATGAGAATAAAATAGTAAATTGATAAAATAAAATAACACAATAAAATTCTCACGACATTTCGGCCACAACACAAGCGGCCTTCATCAGGTGAAGGGACGAGACTGTCTGGAGGACAGCGCTTTACCGAAAGAACCAAAGAAGTTGTGAATGTGTGTGTGTCTGTTCGAAATGTTTAGTGTACTTCCCGACATGAAACGAACTTGAAATTGGGCATGTGGGTAGCTTCCAGACTGTACACAATGCAAAAAGTATAAAAATAGACTTTGTATATTTTTACATTATGAGACCTCCTTTGCCAGAAACAAGATATAGGAATAGGTTTTTACCCTTTTAACTGGCACAAAAAACTGACACCTTTATTCAAGGCATCATGTTTGCAATAACCACAACACCAATGGAGACTAGGCTCTAAGAAAAGCCGTCTCGGGTGTGGACCAATCAAATTCAAGGACAATGCCAATATTATCAGAGTTGTCTCTTTTGTTTGCATTTTGACTGCTTGTGTTGTGGTTATTGCAAACATGATGCCTTGAATAAAGGTGTCAGTTTTTGTGCCAGTTAAAAGGGTTAAACCTATTACTATTTGTATATTTTTGTTTGGGGGGGGGGCGCATTAATGGATATATTTTGCACGGCAAGTGAGCGGTGACGTCACATCTGTGATGTCACCCGCACGCGTCAGCGTCACGCGCAGTGTGCCTGCTGACGTCACGCAGTGTGCCTGCTGACGTCACGCAGTGTGCCTGCCGACGTCACGCATCCCCCCCCCGTGAATTAATTTAAGACAAGAATCCAAGTCTCGGGCGAAGCCGGGTAGTTAAAGTTAGTTTGTTACAAAGGAGCCCTAAAATATATATTTATATTTTTTAAAAACACGTACATATTAAAACAGAACATTTTTAACTTGCATAGTGAAGTAATTGGAATTTTTTCATTTGCTATACAGCCAAATAATATGGCAAATCGCGAACCTTAAACGCCCCCAGTCCTTCATGAAAGTTGAAGGCAGTGTAGTACTATAGTCATTGCCTCTAAACACGTGGGGCAGATCGTCCACAGTGGTGCAAGCTGAGCCTGTCTGCTGCTGTTGCTGCTGCTGAGCCACTGAATGTGGAAACCCGGTCCCTAGAAAGGTTTAGTTTAGCCCGATTTGTTTTTATATATAGTTTCGAGTTAGACTAAAATTTTAATGTAGATTGTATTATAATTCTTCTTTGGTTCTTTCGGTAAAGTCACCACGTAGAATGAGAATAAAATAATAAATTGATAAAATAAAATAACACAATAATATTCTCACGACGTTTCGGCCACAACACAAGCGGCCTTCATCAGGTGAAGGGACGAGACTGTCTGGAGGACAGCGCTGGAGTGAGAATATTATTGTGTTATTTTATTTTATCAATTTATTATTTTATTCTCATTCTACGTGACTTTACCGAAAGAACCAAAGAAGATGAATCCTTGCAGTCACGAAAGCTTTAAATCGAAATGTGTTATGATTGTTATTGTGATCAAACATCAAAATGGGATTTTTTTTGTTGCACATTTTTGTTATTTGCAGGCATAAACAAACGGTGCTTTTTTCTGGAAGATTTTATTGTTGATTGTAGGGGATGTTTAAATTTGCGTACGGTAAACATTTTTAATGTATCTTGTTATTTTATTGTTTTCTTGCTGTTGCGTCCGAATCAAGAGACGAATGGCTCACAGGGTTATTCCAAATAAATGAAATGAAACTGAAACTTCCCAATAACACCTGGGGCAGATCGCCAGCAGTGGTTCAAGCACAGCCTGGCTGCTGATGATGATGAGCCACTGAATGGAAACCGATGCTGCTGATCAGGTTACGTCATGTTGCAGACTTCTTTCGCACCCTACTGTGACAAACCGTGCCAACCTTGAGGCTACACACACACACAGATACAACACACATTGCGTCATTCGCCACTAAGTGGGCGTGACGTCATCACGACGCTTGTGCCAGGCTAGGTGCACCTTGAGGCTACCACGTGAAGGAGGTCACCGGGCAGACCCAGCAGGTGCCACGGGTCGACTGACTGAGATGACCGAGACGACTGGCTGATGCACCACCTGTGCCCCCTACTGTGTAGTGTATAGTAGTGTACACACGCACACACACGTACACACACACGTACACACACACAACAACCGCCATTCGCCACTAAGTGGCGGTGATGTCACCACGACGCTTGTGCCAAGCTAGGTGCACCTTGAGGCCACGTGACCGAGATGACTGGCTGATGCACCACCTGTGCCCCCTACTGTGCTACACACACACACAGACACAACACACATTGCACTCCCATGAGGCCGTGGCTGATAGGATGTGTCAAACGAAGACGGGTACGTGATGGGAACCTGCAGGGCCCTGTAGGGGACATCCCACAGCCCAGTGACAACCTTGCAGCAAGCGCTGTTTGCGAGCACCTATTAAGGCCGGGCCACTCTGGAACGGCACGAGGGCTGGAACGATTTGGGGAAAATATCAAATAGCGATTTTTTTTGTGTGTGTCTGACTGCGGTTTGATTTGCGATTAAATGTTTTGAAGTCAAAGCTTCAGTTCAAGATGCACTGTACGCTATAGATGTAAAACGTGCGATGAAGCATTTGGGGCCGTCCATAAATGACGTCACGCGATTTTGGAAGATTTTTGACCCCACCCGCCCCTCGTCACGCGGCGTCACAAAAAGTCAGACCCCCCCCCCCCCTCAAATATGACGTCACAAGGCTCTGCCACCCCCCCTCGTCACGCGGCGTCACAAAAAGCCAGACCCCCCCCCCTCAAATATGACGTCACAAAGCTCTGCCCCCCCCCCCAAAAAAAAATATAAAACATGCTTCAAATCGCTTTAAACTATTGTCATTGTAGCGGTGCGTATTTAATGTGGCGCTGCACTCTGATGTTGTAGGAGTGTTGTTATAACAACTAGTGTTGTTACAACAATTCTATATTCAAATTTTTATTTAAAGCTTTCGTCACTGCAGGGATTCATAATCTTGGTTCTTTCGGTAAAGTCACCACCACGTAGAAGGGAAAGAATAAAATAATAAAAATATGAAACAATAAAATTCTCACGACGTTTCGACTGCGGCTTTCACACCTGATGACGATTGCTTGTGTTGCAGTCGAAACGTCGTGAGAATTTTATTGTTTTATATTTTTTATTATTTTATTGTTTCCCTTCTACGTGGTGGTGACTTTACCGAAAGAACCAAGAATATAATTCTATATTTATTTAAAGTTGCGCATTTTGATGTGACGTCACATTTCTCAAACACCCCCCCCCCACTCGTCACACATCGTCACAAATGTCTGACCCCCCCTCCCCCCCCAGGTACGTGACGTCATTTATGGACGGCCCCTTACCACGTGATACCATCGCAATATGAACTGCTCTGTATATTCTCACGCAAGGATGAAAAAAAGATTTGAACTGCTTCCAACGTGTATCTATTAAAATGTTTTAATTGAAATAGACCAATCAAACACGGAACAGTTGTTAAGTTAAATAAATAAAGTAATTGTAATTAAACAAATAAAAAAAATTCCAACGAGAAAGTTAATAGGGACTTTTCAAATCGCTCGCAAAAAAACCGCAGCCTTTGCGATTTTGCCAATCGCGTTGTCTCAAATTGCGACGTCGATTTGAAATCGATTAATCGTTCAGCCCCTACACCTCTCATGCCGAGGGGGTGGTCAGCACCACCACGCCCCGGCCCGGCCGTCTTTGTCTCTCCCCAAGCCCCCTCCCACCCCCCCCCCCCCCACAGCGCTATGTTTGCTGCAGGTTTCTGATTTGAGGCTGAGTCAGTTTTCAGTTTTCAGTTTATACTGGTAGGAACGAAGTTGTAAACTGAGTGTACCAGTCTGCAATAGATTAATGTGTCCGTCCGTCCATCCCCTTTCAATACTTTAACGAAGTGAAATCTCGTGCTGTTGGGGTGTAAAAATAAAATTGCGCAAAATTCCAATGTTCCTACCAGCCCACCCTGCAGGGACCTGTTTTATTTTGGTATAGCCCCGTGAGCCATTCGGCTCTTGAATCGGGTGCAACCACAACAAACAAAAACACAAACAAAACCACGAACAAGAAAAAACATAGTAATAGGTTTTTACCCTTTTAACTGGCACAAAAAACTGACACCTTTATTCAAGGCATCATGTTTGCAATAACCACAACACAAGCAGTGTTTGTGTCGTGGTTATTGCAGACATGATGCCTTGAATAAAGGTGTCAGTTTTTTGTCGTGCCAGTTAAAAGGGTAACAACCTCTTACTATATCTTGTTTCTGGCAAAGGAGGTCTCATAATGTAAATGCTCGCCCCGAGCCCTCAATACTCTGAAGGTGCGCTGTTTTTGAGTTGTTCGCCTTTTGGCGTCTTCTGGTCCAACACCAGTGGAGACTAAGGGCTCTAAGAAAAGCCGTCTCGGGTGTGGACCAATCAAATTCAAGGACAGTGCCAATATTATTATCAGAGTTGTACGCCTTATGTTTGCATTTGTGACTGCTTGTGTTGTGGTTATTGCAGACATGATGCCTTGAATAAAGGTGTCAGTTTTTTTGTGCCAGTTAAAAGGGTAAAAAAAACCTATTACTAAAACCACACCGTGTCCAAACCAAATAAAAACCGTTTTCGAAATCACCAAAAAAATAAAGCCATAATTGCAACGTAACAGTGATCACAGGTGACCGTGACCGAAACTTTTAACAATAAACTACATAAATAACATGGCAACACCAAATCCTGTAGTCATAGCCGATTGCTTGAGTCACTCCACAACAACAGAGGCAGTCCACCTAGGGGGGAGGGAGGGGGTTGAGCACAGCCGGTGACGTCACACGGCGAGCGAGGGGGTCGGCGAGCGACGTGACGTCACGCGGCGAGCGACGCGACGTCGCGCGAACGGTGGCGGGTGACGTAATTTCCTCGCGTCGTTCGACATGACGTCACCTCCTGCGTGATGTCACCGCGAGAAGCGGAGCGAAGAGGAGGTGGTGAGGAGAGGAGAGAAGAGAAGAGGAGGTGGTGAGGAGGTGAAGAGAGAAGAGGAGGTGGTGGTGAGGAGGTGGTGAGGAGAGAAGAGAAGAGGTGGTGGTGATGAGGAGGTGGTGAGGAGAGAAGAGGTGGTGGTGAGGAGGTGGTGAGGAGAGAAGAGGAGGTGGTGAGGAGGTGGTGAGGAGAGAAGAGGAGGCGGTGAGGAGAGAAGAGGAGGCGGTGAGGAGGTGGTGAGGTGGTGAGGAGAGAAGAGAAGAGGAGGTGGAGAGGTGGTGAGGAGAGAAGAGGAGGTGGTGAGGAGGTGGTGAGGTGGTGGTGAGGAGAGAAGAGAAGAGGAGGTGGAGAGGTGGTGGGGAGAGAAGAGGAGGTGGTGAGGAAGTGGTGAGGAGAGAAGAGAAGAGGAGGTGGTGAGGAGAGAAGAGAAGAGGAGGTGGTGAGGAGAGAAGAGGAGGTGGTGAGGAGGTGGTGAGAAGAGAAGAGGAGGTGGTGGTGGGGAGGCGGTGAGGAGGTGGTGAGATGAGGGAGAGAAGAGGAGCACGCGGCGACAGCGAGACGCAGCGAGGAGGTGGAGGAGGAGGAGATGAGAGCAGAGGAGGAAAAGGTGAGGGGAGAGAGAGGAGGTGGTGGGGTGAGACGCGGAGAGGAGGCAGGATGAGGTGAGGGAGGAATCCCAGCGGTAGTAAATGGGTGAGTGAATGAGTGACTGAGTGAATGGGTGAGTGACTTGAGTGAATGAGTGACTGAGTGAATCGGTGAGTGACTGAGTGAATGAGTGAATTAGTGAGTGACTGAATGAGTGAATTAGTGAGTGACTTGAGTGATTGGGTGAGTGAATTAGTGAATGGGTGAGTGAATGGGTGAGTGACTGAGTGAGTGACTGAGTGATTGAATGGGTGAGTGAATTAGTGAGTGACTAAGTGAGTGAATGAGTGAATAATTTAGTGAATGGGTGAGTGAATTAGTGAGTGACTGAGTGAATGAATTAGGGAATGAATTAGTGAATGGGTGAGTGTATGAGTGAATTAATGAATTGGTGAGTGACTGAGTGATTGAATGGGTGAATGAATGGGTGAGTGAATGAGTGAGTGAATGAGTGACTGAGTGAGTGACTGAGTGAGTGAATGAGTGAGTGAATGGGTGAGTGACTGAGTGAATGGGTGGGTGAGTGACTGAGTGAGTGAATGAGTAACTGAGTGATTGAATGGGTGAATGAATGAGTGAGTGACTGAGTTAATATGAGTGAGTAGGTGAGTGAATGGGTGAATCAATGAGTGGGTGAGTGAATGGGTGGGTGAGTGACTGAGTGAGTGAATGAGTGATTGAATGGGTGGGTGAATGAATTAGTGAATGGGTGAGTGACTGAGTGAATGGGTGAGCGACTGAATGAATGGGTAAGTGACTGAGTGAATGGATGCGTGAATGAGTGAGTGATTGAATGGATGGGTGAATTAATGACTGAATGGGTGAGTGAGTAGGTGAGTGAATGGGTGAATGAATGAGTGGGTGAGTGAATGGGTGGGTGAGTGAGTGACTGAGTGAGTGAATGAGTGATTGAATGGGTGGGTGAATGCATTAGTGAATGGGTGAGTGATTGAATGAATGGGTGAGTGACTGAGTGAATGGATGAGTGAGTGATTGAATGGATGGGTGAATGAATGAGTGAATGGTTGAGTGGGTCGGTGAGTAGGTGAGTGAATGGGTGAGTGGTTGCACTAATGGGTGAGTGAATGGGTGAGTGGTTGAGTGGGTGGGTGAGCAGGTGAACTAATGGGTGAGTGAATGGGTGAGTGGTTGAGTGGGTGGGTGAGTGAGCAGATGAGTGAATGGGTGAGTGGGTGGTTGAGTGAATGGGTGAGTGGTTGAACTAATGGATGGGTGAGTGGATGGGTGAGTGGATGGGTGAGTGGTTGAGTGGGTGGGTGATTAGGTGAGTGAATGGGTGAGTGGTTGAACTAATGGGTGAGTGAATGGGTGAGTGGTTGAGTGGGTGGGTGAGAAGGTGAACTAATGGGTGAGTGAATGGGTGAGTGGTTGAGTGGGTGGGTGAGTTCGGTGAGTGAATGGGTGTGTGGTTGAACTAATGGGTGAGTGAATGGGTGAGTGGTTGAACTAATGGGTGAGTGAATGGGTGAGTGGTTGAACTAATGGGCGAGTGAGTGGTTGAGTGGGTGGGTGAGTAGGTGAGTGAATGGGTGAGTGGTTGAACTAATGGGTGAGTGAATGGGTGAGTGGTTGAGTGGGTGGGTGAGCAGGTGAACTAATGGGTGAGTGAATGGGTGAGTGGTTGAGTGGGTAGGTGAGTGAGCAGATGAGTGAATGGGTAAGTGGGTGGGTGAGTGAATGGTTGAGTGGTTGAACTAATGGGTGGGTGAGTGGATGGGTGAGTGGTTGAGTGGGTGGGTGATTAGGTGAGTGAATGGGTGAGTGGTTGAACTAATGGGTGAGTGAATGGGTGAGTGGTTGAGTGGGTGGGTGAGCAGGTGAACTGATGGGTGAGTGAATGGGTGAGTGGTTGAGTGGGTGGGTGAGTTCGGTGAGTAAATGGGTGTGTGGTTGAACTAATGGGTGAGTGAATGGGTGAGTGGTTGAACTAATGGGTGAGTGAATGGGTGAGTGGATGGGTGAGTGGTTGAACTAATGGGTGAGTGAGTGGTTGAGTGGGTGGGTGAGTAGGTGAGTGAATGGGTGAGTGGTTGAACTAATGGGTGAGTGAATGGGTGAGTGGTTGAGTGGGTGGGTGAGCAGGTGAACTAATGAGTGAGTGAATGGGTGAGTGGTTGAGTGGGTGGGTGAGTGAGCAGGTGAGTGAATGGGTGAGTGGGTGGGTGAGTGAATGGGTGAGTGGTTGAACTAATGGGTGAGTGAATGGGTGAGTGAGTGGGTGGGTGAGCAGGTGAACTAATGGGTGAGTGAATGGGTGAGTGGTTGAGTGGGTGGGTGAGTGAGCAGGTGAGTGAATGGGTGAGTGGGTGGGTGAGTGAATGGGTGAGCAGGTGAACTAATGGGTGAGTGAATGGGTGAGTGGTTGAGTGGGTGGGTGAGAGAGCAGGTGAGTGAATGGGTGAGTGGGTGGGTGAGTGAATGGGTGAGCAGGTGAACTAATGGGTGAGTGAATGGGTGAGTGGTTGAGTGGGTGGGTGAGAGAGCAGGTGAGTGAATGGGTAAGTGGGTGGGTGAGTGAGTGAATGGGTGAGTGGTTGAAACTAATGGGTGAGTGAATGGGTGAGTGAGCGAGTGGATGGGTGAGTGGTTGAACTAATGGGTGAGTGAGTGGGTGGGTGAGTGAGCAGGTGAGCGAGCGGGCGGTTAATGCTACGTGACGTCTGCTTCACTCGCAGCGAGCGTTACAGATTCCGTCACGAAAAAAAATGTTTTGCCAAATTCAACAACAAAAAACTACACGCCTGATTACTCCATTGGGATCACAGCAGCAGCATCAGGGATCGCCCACAACTGGCAGTAGTCTCGTGCACAGGGGCAGCTGCCACTGGGGGTGCCCCTAGGCTAGAACCACTCAGCAGCAGCGATCATCACCACTTGTCTTAGTGGGTGGTGTGGGTGGTGATGATCTTAGTGGGTGGTGTGGGTGGTGTGGGTGGTGATGATCTTCGTCTTAGTGGGTGGTGTGAGTGGTGTGGGTGGTGATGATCTTTGTCTTAGTGGGTGGTGTGGGTAGTAATGATCTTAGTGGGTAGTGTGGGTGGTGATGATCTTTGTCTTAGTGGGTGGTGTGAGTGGTGTGGGTGGTGATGATCTTTGTCTTAGTGGGTGGTGTGGGTGGTAATGATCTTAGTGGGTGGTTTGGATGGTGTGGGTGGTGATGATCTTTGTCTTAGTGGGTGGTGTGGCTGACGATGATCTTAGTGGGTGGTGTGGCTGACGATGATCTTAGTGGGTGGTGTGGCTGACGATGATCTTAGCGGATGGTGTAGCTGACGATGATCTTAGTGGGTGGTGTGGCTGATGATGATCTTAGCGGGTGGTGTGGCTGACGATGATCTTAGCGGGTGGTGTGGCTGACGATGATCTTAGTGGGTGGTGTGGGTGGTGTGGGTGGTGATGATCTTTGTCTTAGTGCGTGGTGTGGCTGACGATGATGTTTATCTTTCCGCCACCCCCACCCCTCCTACCCCCCGCCCCCCGCCCGCGACAAAACAAAACAAAAAACCGCCCGCCGCAAGGAGACAAAATGATCGCCGAGGGCTCCGCCAAGATCCTGTGCCCGGTGTGCAACTGGGTGCTGGTGAGCCTGCCGGCGCTGGAGGACCACATGAAGCAGCACGGCAAGTCGGCCGTGTACCGGTGCGACGAGTGCCCCTACACGGCCGACAAGCCGGGCGTCCTCGTCAACCACCGGCGGACGCACACGGGCGAGAAGCCCCACCGCTGCGCCGTGTGCGCCAAGGCGTTCCGCGTGCTCGGCAACCTGCGTAGCCACGAGCGCATCCACACGGGCGAGAAGCCCTACAAGTGCACCGTGTGCTGGAAGGAGTTCCGCGAGGCGGGCATGCTGCGCACGCACCAGCGGACGCACACGGGCGAGAAGCCGTACCGCTGCGCCGTGTGCGGCCGGGCGTTCGCCCACACGGGGACGCTGAGCCGGCACAACAACACGCACGCGCCGCGGGCGCCGCGGGCGCCGCCGAAGACGACAACGACGACGACGACGATGACGCCGCAGCGCGAATGCGGCGGCGAAGACGACGCCGAAGACGCCGCGGCCGCCGAAGAAGACTCGGATGACGTCGTCGTAGGATGAGCGGCAACCGACCGGAGGTGGCGGGGGGGGGGGGGGGGGGGGGGGGCGCTTGCGAGGGCGCGGAATCGAGGGATCGCCCTCGCACACCCGGCTCGGCACGCGGAGAAAAACAGATTCCCCGTCCCCCCCACCGTTGGCGCGGCCGGTGCGGCTACGTACGGTGCGAAAGAAGTCCCCACGTACTTGCATCTCGGCCGCCTGGTGCTCCGGGGGGCAGTGCCGAGCCAGGCTCGGGAGGCGAGGGCGTTGGAACTTTTCCCCCAAGCGTAGGGAGAGAGAGAGAGAGAGCCGCGCCGACCGGCGTGGCGGAGTAGCCCACGGAACCGTGCCGGCGTCGCTGGCGATTACGTCGTTCTCCACCCTCCCCCCCCCACGAATCAGATGATGGCGGCAGCGACGTTATCACGGTTTGGTTCTGGCTCGGGTCGGCAAATAAACCAGCGGGGTAAAAAAAATAAACCCCTCAACCGTGCCGGCCCCGTGCTGGCTCGGTTCGGATGTCGCCAGTGGAAAAAAAAAAGCACCCGTACCGTGCTGGCCATGCGCTGGCTCGGATCTGATGTCGCCAGTGGAAAAAACAAACAAACCCGGTACCACGCTGGCCCCGCGCCCGGAACGGCTCGGACGCCGCCAGTGTAAAAGTGGGCTTGACACACATTTGACGCCACCAGTTCGTCCAAAGTGAACTTGTTTTCAACGGACGATGGCTCGGCGCTCCCTGTCCGACGTGCGGGTCTGCGGGTGCGTTCCAAAGTCATCCCGCGCACGCGCGAGTTAAGAGGCCCCCCCCCCCCCCCCCCCGCGTTTTCTGACCGCGTCGGTCGGCTTCAGGATTTGCCGAACGGACGGACGGACGGACGGATGGACGGCAGCGTCGTCGTTAAGGCCACCGCGCTCATTGCGCACGCAAAGCGCCCGCCGGGAATTGGACCGTGGTACTTCGCCGCTGATCTCGCCGGTCGCACGGCACCGCCGCCGTCAGGTTCGCTTCCGCGGCCGTCTGGAACGCCCTTCCTTCCGGATACTAGGAAGCCGATGGGCCCTGAAGTCTTTTTTTTAAGCCGTCATCTAGACGACCAGGGGTGGGGAACTTTTATTTCTGCCAAGGGCCATTTGCTTATTTATGTGACGTCATTCGCGGGCCCATACAAAGTCATCAGCTTAGAAATTAGCCCGTTTATGTTTGGGCGAACATTTAATGATGGGCTAAACTGCTTCTGTTTGGCGAGGCGTGGTGGTGATGTTAGCTGGTATTGACGATGTTAGCTGGTATTGACGATGTTAGCTGGTATTGACGATGTTAGCTGGTATTGACGATGTCAGCAGGTATTGATGATGTTAGCTGGTATTGATGATGTTAGCTGGTATTAGTGATGTTAGCTGGTATTGGTGATGTTAGCTGGTATTGGTGATGTTAGCTGGTATTGGTGATGTTAGCTGGTATTGATGATGTTAGTTGGTATTGACGATGTTAGCTGGTATTGGTGATGTTAGCTGGTATTGGTGATCTTAGCTGGTATTGGTGATGTTAGATGGTATTGGTGATGTTAGCTGGTATTGGTGATGTTAGCTGGTGTTGATGTTAGCTGGTATTGGTGATGTTAGCTGGTGTTGGAGATGTTAGCTGGTATTGACGATGTTAGCTGGTATTGATGATGTTAGCTGGTGTTGATGATGTTAGGTGGTATTGACGATGTTAGCTGGTATTGACGATGTTAGCTGGTATTGACGATGTTAGCTGGTATTGGTGATGTTAGCTGGTATTGATGATGTTAGCTGGTATTGGTGATGTTAGCTGATATTGATGATGTTAGCTGGTATTGAAGATGTTAGCTGGTATTGATGATGTTAGCTGGTATTGGTGATGTTAGCTGGTATTGGTGATGTTAGCTGGTATTGATGATGTTAGCTGGTATTGACGATGTTAGCTGGTATTGATGATGTTAGCTGGTATTGATGATTCTAGATTTAAAGCTTTCGTGACTGCAAGGATCCATACTCTTTGGTTCTATTCGGTAAAGTCACGTAGGTAAAAAATAAAACAAAAATCACGACGTTTCGGCCACAACACAAGCGGCCTTCATCAGGTGAAGGGATCAGGCTGTCTCGAGGACAGCGCTGGAGTGAAACACAGCCACGCTCAGACCGCGACCTTTAAGCTGTGTGCGAGGAAACAAGGTGCCTTGACAAAGGAATTAGCATAAAAATTAGCATTTGATTGGCCGACTTTAGAAAAGAGGTGGTGTACGTGCCGGTGGACTTGCCGTTTGGCGCGGGGGGGGAGGGGGAGTTTACCTGTTGATGGTGTGAAAAGGGAATTTATAAGAGCTGCGAAAGTTTGGGGTGCCACTACTTGAAAAATATACTGTACCATTGAAATTAGTTTAATGTTTAGTTCGATTTAGAACATCTTTCCAATGTTCTTTGGTTCTTTCGGTAAAGTCACGTAGAATGAGAATAAAATAATAAATTGATAAAATAAACAATAATATTCTCACAACGTTTCGGCCACAACACAAGCGGCCTTCATCAGGTGAAGGGACGAGACTGTCTGGTAGGGCAGCACTGTGCTGACTTTACCGAAAGAACCAAAGAAGATGAATCCTTGCAGTCACGAAAGCTTTAAATCGAAATCTTTCCAATGGTTGCTTAACTTGAAACCATCTTCTCGGTTGAAATTGTGTCTGTGTTTGCAGATCTGAATTGCCTCGTGAATAAATCTCTGATAAAAATCCGTGGGTTTGCAAAGAACCTTGGTATCGGAGAAAATTACATCGTGATCACCCACAGCGTTGTAACAGTGATCAGCCACAGCAGAATAATTCGTTTTGCCGTGTTTTAAATCTGATTTGTGCTCGCGAATTCGGTCAGAGACATGTCGCTTTGTCTCCCCGATATAGGAATCAGTGCATTAAAACATGTACACCTGGGCCTCAAAAGGAATGGATACTCTGACCGTACCATCCGCCAAGCTGTTTCTCCCTCCATACAGAAACAACCACTTGATACTCTGGTCAAAACCATCACACTACCATATATAGCAGGCGTTACTAAAAAGATTTCCAAAATTCTAAACAAACACAAGATCCAGGTCTGGTTCAATACAGTACACAAAATTAGTGATCTGATCCCATCCGTGAAGGATATCATTCCTGACTTACAGTACCCCGGGATTTACAAATTGAGTTGTACCTGTGGTGATTACTATATCGGGGAGACAAAGCGACATGTCTCTGACCGAATTCGCGAGCACAAATCAGATTTGAAACACGGAAAAACGAATTCTTCTGCTGTGGCTGATCACTGTTACAATGCTGTGGGTGATCACGATATAATTTTCTTCGATACCAAGGTTCTTTGCAAACCCACGGGTTTTTATCAAAGATTTGTTCACGAGGCAATTCAGATCTACAAACACAGACACAATTTCAACTGAGAAGATGGTTTCAAATTAAGCAACTATTGGAAAGATGTTTTAAATCGAACTAAACATTAAACTAATTTCAATGGTACAGTATATTTTTCAAGTAGTGATACCCCAAACTTTCGCAGCTCTTATAAATTCCCTTTTCACACCATCAATAGGTAAACTGCTCACCCCCCCCCCGTGCCAAACGGCAAGTCCACCGGCACGTACACCACCTCTTTTCTAAAGTCGGCCAATCAAATGCTAATTTTTATGCTAATTCCTTTGTCAAGGCGCCTTGTTTCCTCGCACACAGCTTAAAGGTCCGCGGTCTGAGCGTGGCTGTGTTTCACTCCAGCGCTGTCCACGAGACAGCCTGATCCCTTCACCTGATGAAGGCCGCTTGTGTTGTGGCCGAAACGTCGTGATTTTTGTTGTTTTATTTTTTACCTACGTGACTTTACTGAATAGAACCAAAGAGTATGGTATTGATGTTAGCTGGTATTGACGATGTTAGCTGGTATTGACGATGTTAGCTGGTATTGACGATGTTAGCTGGTATTGATGTTAGCTGGTATTGGTGATGTTAGCTGGTATTGACGATGTTAGCTGGTATTGATGTTAGCTGGTATTGGTGATGTTAGCTGGTATTGGTGATGTTAGCTGGTATTGGTGATGTTAGCTGGTATTGATGTTAGCTGGTATTGGTGATGTTAGCTGGTATTGATGTTAGCTGGTATTGATGATGTTAGCTGGTATTGGTGATGTTAGCTGGTATTGACGATGTTAGCTGGTATTGACGATGTTGTTCCTACTTGCCACTGCTTTTCCAGGTTTGCTCTCCTAGATTTATTGAATTTCGAGTCCCGCCTGCGGTTGCCTTGGCAGGGCCAGCAGACCAAATGATTTCGCGAAGCCTCACACGGCCCGCGGGCCGGACGATCCCCACCCCTGATCTAGATTGACAAAACTCACTTCTTTAAAACTGCTGCTTGTTGTTGTTGTGTTAGTTTGTTGCACCTCTGATTAGCGCAGTTGGCTACCTACGGTGCAATATAAATTGTACATACAAACTACTAAACGCTACTATACACCACTATACACTACACCACTGTACTACATTGATAACCCACTTCTTTAGAACAGTTTAGTTTAGCTAGTTGGCCTTCCCCCGCACCTCCGGTTACTGCGGTTGCACGGTAGACGTTTGGGGGTCATCGCCGAGTAGTATTCTTGACCTTGGATACCGTGGTTAATGGGCGGGGCTAAGTGACGCGCGTCGCACGTGTGTAGGTACGTCGACACTACGACAACGAGAGACGTGTGTCGCTTCACCTTGGGCGCCACCGCTCCGTGCTCTGGTGCCACAGGGCTAACCGACCCGGCCTCTCTCCGTGTGTTCGTCTCGCGTGCAACTGTAGGGGGTTCGGTTGTGGGGGAGGGGGGTGGTGGTGGATGGACCAGCCGTGGATTTGCGGCAGGCCGTTGCACATAGTAGCCATGGCGCGCACGCTAACGATACGGCAATGTTAATGTTGTGAGGAGCGGCAGAAGGCGGGCCGACCCCGGGTTGGATTCCCGCTCACGGCCAAACGCCACGTGACGGTTATCCGAAACCGGTCACAGGACGCCCCTCCTAGGTCGACTCATCCTCGAAAAGAGTAGCCGGTGCGGTGTGTAAAATCGTCACTGGGCGTGGTGCTGGCCACCCACCCACCTCGTGCGCCACATTGCCGGCCTTCGTAGGCGCTGCTCGCTAACAGCACTTGCCCCCAACAGTCTGTTACAGGCGACACGGCGGGGGGGGGGAGGTGGATCTTTGTCCTTGTTAACGATATATAAACCCGCGATTGCCGCGTTCGCGTCATCATGTGCTAGTCCTTCCAGTGCGTGCCCGGGGAGGTTACCCCCGAACGAAAGCGGTTGGTCGAGTGGCCGTACGCCGTCGCCGCTAGATGATTTTACCCCCGTGGCCATGCCGGGGGAAGGTTGTTGAGAGAGACAGAGGGGGGGAGTTGAGGGTCGAACGAATCGGAAAGGAGTAGAGAGAGGCCTGAGGACAGAGGGCTCCCCCCCCCCCCCCCCGTCCCGAAGGCGGATGGTGGAGAAAGACAACAGCTCAAGACGTTCAGGGATGACGCGTGAGGAGTGAAAGTCGAGGGTCGAACGAATCGGAAATGAGAAAGGCGCGAGGGGGATGCCCGTGAACGAAGGCTCCCCCCCCCCTCCCCAAGGCGGACGGAGGAGGAAGTCATCGGCTCAAGATGAGCAGCAGCAGCAGCGGCGGTGGAGGAGGAATGACCGAGCCAAGATTTCAGGGGTGATGAGAGGGCGACGATGGGAAGAGAGGGAGAGGAGCGAGATCTGGAGTCTCGGTCGTACTCGGATTGTAAATGTCGTTGTGGCTTTGCTCTCCAACACACCGGTGGGTGCTGTACTAGTAACGAATTGGCACGTTCTGTTTACGTGACAAACCCCTTACCGACTGGCTGTGTTGTCGGGTGGTGGCGGGTTTAACGACATTTATATATTTACGCGATCTCACCCAAAAAAAAAACCTGTATTGTGGGATATTGCTCGCGAAAGCCTGCTACGTTAAGCCTTCTGGAGTCTGTTTTCACAGCGGGCGGTGTCGGCGAGAAGGGGGGGGGGCGGGGCTGGAGGGGGGGGTTCAGAGTGGGAGTGGCCACACAGGAAGCAGCGCCATTTACTAGGAGGTTCGAACTGACGACGGAGGTGGTGGTCGTTGTTGTTGTTGTTGCTGCTGCTGCTGCTGTACGTACGTCTGCGCTGCGGTTTTCTTCGCCGCCAGTAAAGTCCCACCGTCCGTCTGTCTCTCCCATCCGGTTCATTGCCCTGGCCCAAATGCGAAGCTGCCCACGGCTGGCCCGGGTCAAGGTTCCAGCCGGACCCTTCACGCGGCGAAGCGCTCGGAAATTTTTGCCATCCCCGCACGGACCTCCAAACCGCGCCCAGCCTGCGAGGCGTTCCGAATTTTTCGTCCGGCAGCGATTCCCCCACCCCCGCCGCGAGTCGCTCAACGCGTGCCCAGAACGTTCAGCGTCAAGCGGAAAACAATTTCCCCGACTACCCCACCCCCCCCCGCCGTGAGAAATAACGTGGCTAGGGAGGGGACACACTGCGCAGCGAGACGACGGGGCGGAGAGACCGAGGGTAGGCATGCCCAGAGCGGACCCCGCTGTCATTCCGCGCACGCGTACCCAGAAATTGTCTTGCCGCACGGCTCAAGAAAGAAAGGCCCCTCCGGTTTGTCGGAGACCGCTGGAAAACCGCGTCGCCACGCGCCGTTCTACTCAGGAACGCCTCGGCGAGTCTCCGGTGCGGGCGACCCCGTTTACGAGGGCGGACGGCTCCCCTCGTGCAACCACCCAGGGGGACAGCCGCCACGAGGGAGTGTGCCGCGCCCCCCCCCCCCCCCCCTCGTCCACCCACCCCCGGGCGAGACCCTCCGATCGGCGAGGACAGGAGTTCAACGTACGCCGCGTGCGGATCACGCAGGGATCAGACCCCGACCCCGACCCCCCCGCTCCCCGACTCCTCCTCGTGCCACACGGCGACGGCTGCCACCGGGGGGGGGGGGGGGGGTGGCCCCCTTTTTTTAAAAAGATAAAATAAAACGGGAGGTTCCATGGGGGGCTGAATCGGGAAAACGACGGACGTCGTCGCTATAACGGCGGCGGTCAGAAATTGTTTTTGACAGCTCTCCTTTTAATCACGACGGGGGGTGGGGGGCTACACGGGGCAAACCGACGCAGTCGTCCGCCCATCGCAGACGGTCACTCGTCGGCGAGTCGACGCGCCAGCCAGCATCGTGTCCGCTCGTCGCTGTCGCAGACGGAGGGAGAGGGAGGGCGACTTAGAGAGTGAGAGAGGATGACTCGGAGTGAGAGAGAGGACGACTCAGAGAGAGAGGACTCGGAGAGTGAGAGGACGACTCAGAGAGAGAGATATCGACTCAGTGAGAGAGATCGACTCAGAGAGAGAGGACTCAGAGAGTGAGAGGACGACTCAGAGTAAGAGGGACGACTCAGAGTAAGAGGGACGACTCAGAGTAAGAGGGACGACTCAGAGAGTGAGAGGACGACTCAGAGTGAGAGGGGCGACTCAGAGAAAGAGAGGACGACTCAGAGTGAGAGGGACGACTCAGAGAGAGGACTCAGAGTGAGAGAGGACGACTCAGAGTGAGAGGGACGACTCAGTGAGAGGGGCGACTCAGAGAAAGAGAGGACGACTCAGAGAGTGAGAGAGGACGACTCAGAGAGTGAGAGAGATCGACTCAGAGTGGGAGAGGACGACAAGAGTGAGAGGACGACTCAGAGAGAGAGGACGACTCAGAGTGAGAGAGGACGACTCAGTGGGAGAGTACGACTCAGAGAGAGGACGATTCAGAGTGAGAGAGAACGACTCAGAGAGAGAACGACTCAGAGAGTGAGAGAGGATGACTAAGAGTGGGAGAGGATGACTCAGAGTGGGAGAGGATGACTCACAGAGAGAGGATGACTCAGAGAGAGGACGACTCAGAGAGTGAGAGAGATCGACTCGGAGTGGGAGAGGACGACTCAAGAGTGAGAGGACGACTCAAGAGGTGCCAGGAGGAGGAACCACAGACGAGCAGTGAGGCAGCTCCAAATCCTCCCACGCACGCGAGAGGCGAGGGGTGGGAGACGCTCGATCCCACAGATGTAAGACAGACAGACGGGGAGGTACGGCGCTCCTCCTCGACGCCCACGGGAATAGTGGGGGTTGGGGGGGGGCGCTTCGGCAGACTCGGCGTGCCGCCAATTCACCGTCCCCCCCCCCCACCGCAGACTGTTCGCCGAAACCTCAACGGCCGTGGCGACGGTTACCATCGCCGGCGCCGAACGTAGCCAACCGCGCTTATCGGGAGGTGTGCAAGCGGGCGGACGAAGACGCCGCGGGGCGCCGGGCACGTCGGCTCGTGCCCCGGCCCAGGGTCTGGAACGCTATCGCCAATAAACCACGAAGTACTTACGACACAGATCAGCAGGCTCCACCTGTGCTGGATCCTCCTCACCCGTTTCCAAGAACCAATGCGACTTAAGATCTTCGCTCATTTACCAGCTTCACATTCATTATTGCCATACAAAATACTGGAGGAAGGGGTCCTTTGCTGTTGATGCCCCCAGAGTCTGGAACGCCATCGCCAATCAACCACGAAGTACTTACAACACAGATCAGCAAGGGTACCTGGATCACCGCCTGTGAGATGTTCACTCAAAACTGCTCTAGAGGAGCTGTACACCCCGAGCTGCCACTGCTGTTCAGAGTGTCCTGAAATCAAACGCATCGCTCCGGTTTGACCGCTGCAAAAGTATGATCTTGAGTTTTGAATGATAGCGTGCTGATCTTTAAAGGTGTATTGAAAATGTTGATACTCCGACTGATACTCCTGCTGTTATGGATCGACTCATGCTGCAAGCTATGGCTGCAAAGTTCGGTAGTACGTGTTCATGTGTATGTCGTTTATTGTTAAATTTGAATCACAGTTCCTATGATCACCGTCACATTGTTTTTATAGCTTCGTTTTGGTGATTTGAAAACGTTTTGGTTTGGCCACGTTTGTTTGCTTGTTGTAGGACAGAGATAGGCTGATAACTTTAATCTAAATTGGCTTATGGTTGTTATTGTTTGACTCGCACCCCACTGGGAATTTTGCACACAGCGTTGAAGTGCGGTGCCTTTTCTGCAAGACTTGTGCCGTTTTTTCCTGGATTTCGCTGTTTGCGCGTAGTCACTTTAAGATGTTTCCTTGTTCATGTTTTTGTTTTGTTGCGGTTGCACCCGAGTCAAGAGCCGCATGAGGCTCACAGGGCTACACCTCCTCGTACATGAAATGAAAAGAAACGCCGGAGGGGCCGGCACGCCGGCTCAGTCGCCGTCCGGGCCGCTTGCCGGAGGCCCCCCCCGCAGGCCCACCGCCCCCCGCGGTGCGAGCTCCTTGCCGCACCCCCACGGGCCGTCGCGGGGGGCCGCCCTTGGCGCCCGCGGAGGAGGGCCCCCCGCGGCCTCCTCCCGGGCGCCGACCCCGCACGGTGGCGCCGTCGCCGCCGTCACCGCCGCCGGCTTGTCGCCCGTCACCGCGTGCCTGGTCAGCTGGTGCCGCTGGAGGCTGCCGAGCACCTGGACAAAGAGAAAGGGACCCCGCCACGCCGTGTAGGGCTAACGCACCGCTTGGGACGAGTGCTGTGAGCGAGTCTCGGCGCCTGTGTTGTGGGGGGAGTGGGCGGGTGGGTAAGTGGGTGGGCGATTGACTGGGTGGGTGAGTGGGTGGGCGGGTGACTGATCGGGTGGGTGGGTGAGCGAGCGAGCGGGTGGGCGAGCGGGTGGGTGGCTGTCTGGGTGAGTGAGTTGGTGGGTCGGTGATTGGGTAAATGGGTGGGTGGGCGAGCGAGCGGGTGGGTTGGAAGGTGGCTCTCTGGGTGAGTTGGTGGGTGAGTGACTGGTGGCTGGGTGGGTGACTGAGTGGGTGGGTGACTGAGTGGGTGGGTGGATATCTGGGTAAGTGAGTTGGTGGGTGATTGGGTAAGTTGGTGGGTGATTGGGTAAGTGGGTGGATGGCTGACCGGGTGAGTGAGTTGGTGGGTGATTGAGCAAGTCGGCGGCTGAGTGGGTGGGTGGGCGGGAGGGTGACTGAGTGGATGGGTAGGCGGGCGAGCCGGCGGGTGGGTAGGCGGGCGAGCCGGCGGGTGGGCGGGCGAGCCGGCGGGTGGGCGGGCGGGCGAGCGGGTCGATGGCCGGTTGAGTGAGTTGGCAGTTGCTTAGCTGAATGGGTGAGTGGATGGGCAGGCGGTTGAGCGAGCGAGCGGCTCGTCACCGTGAACGTCTTGCCGCAGGCGGGGCACTCGTGGGGCCTCTCGCCGGAGTGCGCCCGCACGTGACGCCGCAGGTTGCCGTGCTCGGCGAACGCCCGGCCGCACTGGGCGCACGCGTGCGGCCGCTCCTCCGTGTGCGTCCGCTGGTGGTTGAGCAGGTGCTCTTGCTGGGCGAAGGCCCTCTCGCACACGGTGCACACGTACGCCCGCTCGCCCGTGTGGGTGCGCGCGTGCCGCCTCAGGGCGCCCAGCTGCGTGAAGGCGCGGCCGCAGTCGGCGCAGGCGTGCGGCCGCTCGCCCGTGTGCGTCCGCCGGTGGGCCTTGAGGCTCGACGAGACGGTGAAGGCGCGGCCGCAGTCGCCGCAGGCGTACGGCCGCTCGCCCGTGTGCGAGCGCGCGTGGATGTCCAGGTGGCTGCGGTGGTCCGTGCTGTATGGGCACTGCGGGCAGCGGTGGGATTTAACCCGCGGCGGCGCCGGCGGCGGCGGCTGCTGCTCCATGACGACCGCCGGTGGGTAGGGGGGAGCGTGGGATGGATGGGGATTAGACCACGCGCTCTGCCGCTGTGCCTCCTTCTAGCTGGTTGAGCCGGTGGGGGGGGGGTACAGCTCCTTGACACCCACCCACGGGTAGAATGGAGTGAGATGGGACGGATGGGGATTAGTCCATGCGCTCTGCCGCCTTCTAGCTGGGGGGGGGGGGGGGGGGGGGGGGGGGGTACGGCTCCTCACTCCTCGAGTTTCACAATCCCACCCCCCCCCCCCCCCCACTTGACGCAACTTCTCACTCGGTCCGCATCTCGGTGAAGGTTGTACGTGGCTAAATAAAGGATTTGATGGAACTCTGGATGTATATTCTTAGTTCTTTCGGTAAAGTCACGTTGAAGGGAAACAACAAAATAATAAAATATATAAAACAATAAAAAATCTCACGACGTTTCGACCATAACACAAACGGTCGTCTTCAGGTGGTTAAATAATGGGGGGGCTGTATTTGCTGCGTGGGTCAAAGAAAGCGCTGTGCCGTCGCGTGTCTAAAAAAATAAATAAAGGGGGCGTGTGAACACGTGGTTACAAGATGGAGCGTGTGAACACGTGGTTACAAGATGAAGGGGGCGTGTGAACACGTGGTTACAAGATGAAGGGGGCGTGTGAACACGTGGTGACAAGATGGAGCGTGTGAACACGTGGTTACAAGATGGAGGGGGCGTATGAATACGTGGTTACAAGATGGAGCGTGTGAACACGTGGTTACAAGATGAGGGGGCGTGTGAACACGTGGTTACAAGATGGAGCGTGTGAACGTGGTTACAAGATGGAGGGGGCGTGTGAACACGTGGTTACAAGAGGGGGCGTGTGAACACGTGGTTACAAGATTAAGGGGGCGTGTGAACACGTGGTTACAAGATTAAGGGGGCGTGTGAACATGTGGTTACAAGATGGAGGGAGCGTGTGAACACGTGGTTACAAGATGGAGGGAGCGTGTGAACACGTGGTTACAAGTTGAAGGGGGCGTGTGAACACGTGGTTACAAGATGGAGCGTGTGAACACGTGGTTACAAGATGGGGCGTGTGAACACGTGGTTACAAGATGGAGCGTGTGAACACGTGGTTACAAGATGGAGCGTATGGACACGTGGTTACAAGATGGAGCGTGTGAACACGTGGTTACAAGATGAGGGGGCGTGTGAACACGTGGTTACAAGATGGAGCGTGTGAACACGTGGTTACAAGATGGAGCGTGTGAACACGTGGTTACAAGATGGAGCGTGTGAACACGTGGTTACAAGATGGAGGGGGCGTGTGAACACGTGGTTACAAGATGGAGGGGGCGTGTGAACACGTGGTTACAAGATGAAGGGGGCGTGTGAACACGTGGTTACAAGATGGAGCGTGTGAACACGTGGTTAGAAGTTGAAGGAGGCGTGTGAACACGTGGTTACAAGATGAAGGGGGCGTGTGAACACGTGGTTACAAGATGAAGGGGGCGTGTGAACACGTGGTTACAAGATGGAGCGTGTGAACACGTGGTTACAAGATGGAGCGTGTGAACGTGGTTACAAGATGGAGGGGGCGTGTGAACACGTGGTTACAAGAGGGGGCGTGTGAACACGTGGTTACAAGATGAAGGGGTCGTGTGAACACGTGGTTACAAGAGGGGGCGTGTGAACACGTGGTTACAAGAGGGGGCGTGTGAACACGTGGTTATAAGATGGAGCGTGTGAACACGTGGTTACAAGATGAGGGGGCGTGTGAACACGTGGTTACAAGATGAAGGGGTCGTGTGAACACGTGGTTACAAGAGGGGGCGTGTGAACACGTGGTTATAAGATGGAGCGTGTGAACACGTGGTTACAAGATGAGGGGGGCGTGTGAACACGTGGTTACAAGCTGAAGGGGGCGTGTGAACACGTGGTTACAAGATGAGGGGACGTGTGAACACGTGGTTACAAGACGGCACGTGTTGCGAATCTCAGTGCATGGGTGGAGGGGGTGGAGGTCTCACGTCATCGAACTCGGGACCCCAGGGCTTCGGCTGTCGGCTTCTGCAGCAGCAGCAGCAGGGAGGGCAGCAGCAAGGGCAGCGGCAGTAGCAGGAAGGGAAGTAGCAGCAGTAGGTAGGGCAGCAGCAGGGTAAGTAACCAGGGCAGCAGCAGTAACAAGAGCAGCAGCAGCAGCAAGGGCAGCAGCAGTAACAAGGGCAGCCGTGGTAATGTTGGGAGGCAGCACGCAGGCGTCTACAGCAACAGACAAGGCCCGGTTGCGTGGTGACGTCACCCCTCGCGGAGAGAAGACGCGTATGACGTCACGGCGCCGACGTGCGGGTGACGTCGACCCCTGCTGGGAGAAAAACGCGGTGACGTCACGGCGCCGACGTCACCGCCCCCCCCGCGCGGTGACGTCGCCCCTGCTGAGAAAACGCGGCGACGTCACTTCCTGCTGTGAGAAGCTGCGGCGTGACGTCAATGCCACCCCCAAACGTGCGAAAGCGACGTCACCCTAAATGCCGATTTAAAGCTTTCGTTGACTGCAGGGATTCATCTTCTGGGTTCTTTCGGTTCGAGTCACGTAGAATGGGAATAAAATCATAAAAAAAATAACAAAATTATTCTGTTATTATTTTAAATGAAATCATAAATAAATAATAAAATTATTCTGTTATTTTTTATAAAATGATAAAACATAACGGAATAAAATTAAATAGTAACAGAATAAAATTATTATTTTATGATTTTATTCCCATTCTACGTGACTTCACCGAAGACGACGTCACACCCTGGCTGGGTGGCCTGGTATGACGTCACCACGTCGCGTGTACGAAGAAGACAAAGCTGCCCCGGGTAGCCCCCACTTGTTTGGTGGGCAAGCGCTGCTCTATTCGAGCGGCGGCTGCGGCACCCCGCGAAGCACACGAAGTACTTACAGCACAGATCAGCAGGCTCCACCTGTGCTGAATCCTCCTCATCCGTTTCCAAGCACCAATGCGACCCAAGGTCTTGGCTCATTTACCGGCTTCACATTCATTATTGCCGTACGAAATACTGGAGGGGTCCTTTGCTGTTGATGCCTCCAGGGTCTGGAACGCTATCGCCAATAAACCACGAAGTACTTACAACACAGATCAGCAGGCTCCACCTGTGCTGGATCCTCCTCATCCGTTTCCAAGAACCAATGCGACCTAAGGTCTTCGCTTATACTGGTAGGAACGAAGTTGAAAACTGAGTGTACCAGCCTGCAATAGATTAATGTGTCCGTCCGTCCCCTTTCAAAAGCCCCATACTACCGTATACCGGGAAACAATTCCTCATTTTAAAATGAAATTGTCATTTTTCGGCCCAGCCCTTAACGATTTTATGATACATTGCTCCAAAATGAGCAGATTTCAGTCAATAAGGATTTCACCATTCCATTCCTCTACAGAGGTTAATTTGTCCGAAGAACCCTCAACGATTTTGAGGGCAAAAAGGTGGGAAGACGCTCTCAATTTGCACAATTTTACGTAACAATGTCGTAAAATTGCGCAAAATTCCAATGTTCCTACCAGCCCACCCTGCAGGGACCTGTTTTACCAGCTTCACATTCATTATTGCCGTACAAAATACTGGAAGGGTCCTTTGCTGTTGATGCCCCCAGGGTCTGGAACGCTATCGCCAATAAACTGCAACTTGGATCACCGCCTGCGTAAGATGTTAACTCAAAACTGCTCTAGAGGAGCTGTACACCCCGAGCTGCCACTGCTGTTCAGTGTCCTGAAATCAAACGCATCGCTCGGGTTTGACCGCTGCAATAGTATAATCTTGGGTTTTGAATGATAGTGTGTTGATCTTTAAAGGTGTATTGAACATTTTGATACTCCGACTGATACTCCTGCTGTTATGGAGTGACTCATGCAGCCAGCTATGGCTGCAAAGTTTGGTAGTACGTGTTCATGTGTATATCGTTTATTGTTAAATTTGAATCACAGTTCCTATGATCACCGTCACATTGTTTTTACAGCTTCATTTTGGTGATTTCGAAAACGTTTTGGTTTGGCCACGTTTGTTTGCTTGTTGTAGTACATAAGTTAGCCTGATAACTTTAATCTAAATTGCCTTATGGTTCATATTCTTGGTTCTTTATATTTTTATTTTATTGTTTCCCTTCTACGTGGTGACTTTGCCGAAAGAACCAAGAACATGAATCACTGTGGTCACGAAAGCTTTAAACCAAAAATGTCTTACGGTTGTCATTGTTTGACTTGCATCCCATGGGGATTGTTGCACACAGCGTTGGAGTGCGGTGCTTTTTCTGCAAGACTTGTGCCGTTTTTTTTCCCGGATTTTTCTGTCGCGCGCAGTCACTTTAAGATGTTTTCTTGTTCATGTTTTTGTGTTTGTTGCGGTTGCACCCGATTCAAGAGCCGAATGAGGCTCACAGGGCTACACCTCCTCGTACATGAACTGAAAATGAACTGAACACTCGCCACGTGATTGCACGTGACATTGTTGAAGCAATGGACCGCCCCCGAAATTCCTGGAATCCCAAATAACAAACTAAAAAAAAGCTATTTTTTTTGTAAAGTGTAAATCGGTACCAGGTTCCTCTTTTTCAGAAGGCGACCCTGGCTATCACAGATGATGGCAAGCTCAACGAAATGGCTTGACGATGCCGGAACATTCTACAGCGGCCAAATTCCTCTGATGAGGGAAGAGACGCAAAGCTTCAACTCTACAGCAGCAGGCGTCAGAGTCGGGATCGAAACCCACGACCTCCTGTATACCAGACGAGGCAGTCAACATCTCCTGGCCACTGTGATGATGATGATGATGAGAGACGCAAGCTCCAAATCGAGAGCAGCAGGAGGCGTCAGAGTCGGGATCGAACCCACGACCTCCTGTATACCAGGCGAGGCAGTCAACATCTCCTGGCCACCACGGCGCCGAGTCGACCACAGGGAGGGGGAGCTAATTGCCCCGAGCTCGTCATGCGATGTCGCGTCAACCGCTGCACCACCGAGCGTCGCGATGCAGAGACGGCGGCCGTGGAGTGGAGGCGTCAGTCCAGCAGGGTTCCGCGGGAACCCATCGCACGACTCT